GTTTTTACCCCCGACACCGTATACAAAAACAAACGCCAACGTAACGTACATGCAGGCACCAGACTATTCCTCATTTGCATAATTGTGCAAAAATTTTGCAAATGAGGAATAGTCTTGCTATTGCAAATAATGCAATAGCAAGGCGAGAGAGCAGGCAGTGGTGGGCGCGTACTGCTCGACACCCTGGGGACGAGGTTCAGGAACAATGTTTAGGGAATCTGCTGAAATCTCCTCCTGAAAAATGGGGGAAACTAGTGCGCATGTGCGACTTCTGCAGGCAATTACGGTCCATTTTCAGTCCTGCACAAACTACACATGACAAAAGAACTGACCAGTGAAGTTGCAAAAAGGTCTTGCCGCATATTTTATTGCACTGGAAGAAATGTGAGAGCTTGCTTAGGAACTACTATAATTTTTTTGAATTGCGCCCTGCATATATAAGGCCAAACATGTGTTCGCACATTACCAAACCAATACGAGTTTCCCTAGACGTTGTTTCTGTCAAGTCCATGGGCGATATTCGCTCGTACCCCCGCCCCTGCAAACAGGATGCTGGTATAAACTCCGCGATGATCTTCACAGAATCTTATGAAAGAAGTGGCCTATGACCTATAGATAAAGTATCTAGCTGCAGCTGTTCAAGACTGCAGTTAAAAAATGTGCGCAAATACTATCCAAAAACTTCCCATAGAAATGCGCCCATTTCATACCGGATGTGATGTCTGTTTAATTGCGGACCTGTGGTCAAACTTTTGAGCGTCGCATAATATAATCCGATTGTAAAAAAATTATAAATTGTCAATTTATAATACAGATAAGTTAATTAATAATCCGTAATAACGAATTAGTAATCCGTAATAACGAATAAATAATCCGTAATAACGAATTGATAATCCGTAATAACGAATTAATATTCCGTAACAACGAATTAAATAATCCGTAATAACGAATTAAATAATCCGTAATAACGAATTAATAATCCGTTATAAAGAATTAATAATCCGTATAAACGAATTAATAATCCATAATAACGAATTACATAATCTGTAACATATATACTTGCAGTGGCGCAAATGGGCTTTCGTAGAGATCAATGGTGTCATACAAGAAAATAGACTGGCACACGAAACATCCAATCCAACAACTCTTCAGTACTGCATCAATCAACTGTAAGCTGACTGTGCCAAAAAAAATTCTATAGGATGTCGGGTACTAGGTCACTATTTCTACACATTTTTCCTTAGTCAGGCACCGGACTAATGACAAAGAATGAAGAAGTCAGTCTAATCAAACAGTTAGACCATGGATGGACATGTATAAGTTTAGTCTGTAGCCTCAAAGTTTGCCTGATCTTCTTTTGCATCGTTTTCAGCAAGTTAAGGTCTAACGTTAAGGTCTAACGTTGGGCCTAACGTGGCGCAGCTATCGCTATAGGCCTGACGTGGGACGCTCTGATATTTCGCCTGTAGCGCCTAACTAGAGCAAAAGTTTTAACCTAAATTGAGAGAAATTTAATCAAGGTCTAAACACTCCCGTGCATAAATGACGAATTTATCTACCCGTTACAAAGTTAGAAGAAAAATTTATTGCGGCGTGATTTTCCAATTTTAATTCGAAGTAAAGCCTGCATTCCTGTATCGATGTATTATCGCGGCATCCCTATTAATTATCGCGGTATGGGAAATTTCTCTTTTTGCGTTGCCAAAACTCCTTCATGTGGCGATTTCTATTCAGTTCACCAGGCATAAAGGACTTTCCGCCGAGTGGTATAAAAAGGACGATTCAAAACGGTCCGTTTCGGGACTTTTAACGATTTTCAAGTAATAAATATTTATTAACCATAAGTTAACGTTTTAAAGTAGGCCTACCGTCTGCATTTTGACATAAATCTTTAATCGTGCTCTGTCCATGAAAGTTCCATTGTTCCTATTTAATTCTACAGCTGCAAAAGCAAAATGAAGTCAAAGGACGATATTTCCACGAAATCGTAATTTTTTTTTTATGGAATCAAAATAAGGACAGCGTGCCAAAAAAATAAAACGGCACACAGTGTAAAGTGAATGGCGCCCCCAATCGCAAATCAGTGGACTTTTCTCAGTGGCTTTTGTTCTCCTTTCGGGAGAGGGGTTAGTCTGAGTATCATCCGTTATCCACGGAGCAAGACTCCTGTATAAATTTCTGATATTTCTAGACATATACATATATGTAAGCCGCGCGAAGGCCAATCGGAGTCGACTTTACTATATCGTGACGTCATTTCATTTCTAAATCAGGACTAAATGTTTGATTGGTCAATTCGAAAGCAGTGTGTTGTATTGCGACAACAGCAGGGTGCATTATCGCGTGACATGATACAGAGCGCGTGACGCCGGTTTTTTTTTAAATCCATTGTCATTGACGCACAACGTGTGAATGACCGAAGACCCATAGACTAGGGAGGGGTAGGGTCTTAAGAAATCATCCTGCAGGCATTTAGTCTTTAATTGGGGTCTGCTCATAAATCCGACACCTCATAAGTCCGACAAAATCGCATCCCCTAACCAAATAAAGGCCCCTAACCAAATAAAGTCCGACGCCTCGAGGCGTCGGAGCTAAATTAAACCCCTCGTTTTTCCGTTGTCGGACTTATGAGGCGTCGGACCTATGAGGCGGAATAAATAAACATTATGCCTCATACGTCCGACGCCTCATAAGTCTAAAATTTCGGACTTATTAGGTGTCGGACCTATGAGGCGTCGGACTTATGATACAGCCCCTTTAATCAACTTGAATGCTACTGGGGAAAATATCAGACTTTGTTCAGGGAATGCTTTGGTAAAACATTAATGTAAATGTATCCTGATGATTACACTTTTTTGTATACAGCCCTCTGTTGAGGTACAGTGTACACTCTAAAAAAGAAGGGTAAATTTATGTTGTGTAAAACTGTTGGTAACGCCTCGAGGCGTCGGACTTTATTTGGTTAGGGGGCTTTATTTGGTTAAGGGATGCGATTTTTTCGGACTTATAAGGCATCGGACTTATGAGCAGACCCCAATTAAAGACTAAATGCCTGCAGGATGATTTCTTAAGACCCTACCCCTCCCTAATCTATGTAATAGACCCATGGCGAATGCCACTTATTTCATGACACTTAATGTGTTCACAAAAAATAGTTCAACATGTACAGCAAGCATTATTGAGGTCATATTAACAGTATTTAACTGAATGAATTCGGAGTTTTTTTTAACGAAGAGGTTGGCAACACTGCATGAGGAAAGTCGGGAAAACACCACTATATCTGTAGTTCCACTTGTGTTGTGTGTAATGTCTTTTTGGAAAGGCCTTCTTTCGTTGATTTCTTCAAAACAATAGCTTGCCAGAAAGAATTGCACAGGGATTTTATAGTCCCCTTGCTGTATTTCAACCAAGCATGTTTTTCAACAATACGTCAGTTACTTTTTGGATAGCTGCAATTTGATGGTTTGTTAATCCGCAACTATGTCTGGGTCTCAGCAAAATTACATCAGCGGAGTTGATTTTGCGACTCGAATGAGTCGAGTCATTTTAAGTGACTCGACTTTTGACTGAGTCGAGTCGGTCGCGTCATTGGGTGAGAAAGGTCGAGTCGATTCGAGTGTGAGTCGATCGAGTAAAACTGTGTGATCGAGTCGAGTCGAGTCGAGTAAAATTTATGCTTGAGTCAATTCGAGTCACCCACAAAATGGACGATCAAGGAACACAAGGCACAGTACAGTTTATTATGAAGGTTAAAATGCCGCACGGTATACTTAGGTTCTGCTGGACGTTTCTGTAGAGAGACGTCTTTTACGAGGCACCGTACAATTGCCACACATCCCACAAAAATGTATACAAACGCGCACTCAGTGCCGTGAACGCGCGAATATCAACCCTTTTCTGCCTGCACACCAAAGTGTGAGTATCGTGTGCATGGATTTGTGCTTGAAAACCAACATTTTAGTTTCAAATGAGCGAAATTTGTATTTTCTTTACATTCTAATGCCACATTGCAAGTTCTCTGCTACCGCAGGGCTAGTTGTTAGTGCATTGTGTTACCCTCTACATAAAACACTTTCTTCCTCCATTCTTCCGTCAGAAAGTACATTTCTTTTCTATTTTTTTACCTCATGTGAACTGCGAAGATTCGTTGGACAAAAAGGAAAGTGACAACAATTTTAGGTTTGCTTAGGTGAACATTGGGATTGGTCGTGAGCGAACCCTGCTGTTTAATATTCTTCTATATTAAAATTCCATTAATAACATTATTCACGGTATCGTTTTAGACATTTCTTCTACAAGATCTTCTGAACAATGTTTAATATTCTTTAATATCGTAATTCATTATTTAAATTATGCGTAATAGCATTTTAACAGTTCCACGAAATCTTCGAGAAAAAGCATTCTATTACCTCCTGCTAAATTGCTCCCTAATTTTAAAGAATTATGGATCAAACAGGGCAGCTTTTGGGGGAGATATTTTGTTGAGAAAATTAAATTTTAGATGCCAGTAATTGTCTATCTATCAAAGCTCCAATCCAAGTCCCGTAGCCTTCAGACCCCCACGAAAGTAGAAGGCACAGAGGTGGATTCTAATTCTAGAAGTACATGTGTTATATGTATACATTATGTTTGAACGGCACCCCCTAACCCCAAAGCTAGCGTCAGATGCAATTTTTTTCCAAGTGCTTGAATTAAATGCACCACACCACTTATTTCTCTTGAAAATCCTACCTATGGGCCTGTTATTGTGAGTCCCCGCTCCCTCCCCCACAACAATCATTCCCTTCCCCTATGTATCACGTTTCCCATTTTCCCAAAATTATGTACTCACCTAATTTTTTTTTTTTTTTTTATATATTCCTGTGTTCTTAGGACCACCTGGTTATCTAGGGTGCTATAAAGACAACACTGGCGATCGTGCTCTTAGAGGAAGTGAAGTGAAGGATGAGACTTCCATGTCTTGGCAGTGGTGCATGTCTAACTGTAGACATAATTATTATATGGGACTGGAGTTTGGTGACGAATGCTTCTGTGGAGATAATTCTGACTATGACAGGTATGGCAGTGGATCTGGCTGCAGTATGACGTGTGAAGGAGACAGCGGTGAGACATGTGGTGGATCAGATCGCATTCAAGTCTACAGAGGTAGGACATGAAGCAATATTCCCCTCGCCGCTGCGTTGTGGAGGTGCTTTTGCCGCCTGTCGCGCAATTTACACATTGAGCCCATAGTGACAGTAGGCATATAAGTCATTCAAAAGGAGACTATTATTAACAAAGAAGCAATCGGACTAATTCAGTAGTGGCCTTGTGAGAGGAGGAATTTAAAGAGGCCAAAGAGAACAGAGTTAAATGGGACTAGACGAGAGGGGATTCCCATCCCAGCCCCCTCCTTCATTTCCTTTTTTTTGTTTTGAAAATGCACTTCAACTTCTTTTTCAACGACGCAGTTAAATACTGTTTAAAAAAGACATGCTTGTTAGAATTTACACAATTTTAAATCAACTGTTTACAACCCTCACCATCAATTTTTCTCAATAATTGCAGCAAAAAATGCTCTGTGCTACAAGCCTGGTCAACCAAGTCATGGATTATACAACGTACAATCCCGTCCTTACAGTTACAGCCTGGGTAACTATGAATATGAGGATGCTGTTTTACGGTATACCTGCTACAGAGGTTACTATTTTCCTGCCAAGCCCCCAACGGTCACATGTGTGAGAGGAAGAACATGGAGCCCTGCCTACAGCACCTGCCGAGGTAAATATGGGAGAGAGAAATACATTTCCACCAATTTTATGTTGAAATAAAAGATCAAATATATCGAACGACAAGGATCTATATGTCAGTTATATAAAACAAATATTGAGTGGGTTTAAATTGTGAAATGGGAGTATTATTATCAATCAGTCAAATCTGGACTTTTCCAGTTCATCCTATTTCGCCACGAGAAATAAAAAGTCCAGATTTACCTTGCCATAAGATTCCTCCCATTTCACTCTGAGCCAATCAATATTTGTATACCAACCGCATCAGTATTAACATTTCATTTCGGACACAGTTTGGAATTCAATATTTAGGCATTGGTTAGTAGAAGCAAACTTTTTTCCTTGCCCTATTTTTAAGCAAAAGTTAAACTTGTTTTGAAAATACAATGCACAGATTGAAACTATAATCTCCAGATGCTTAGAATATCAAGTAATATTCAAGCACATTAAAATTACTACAGGTGTAGTACATTAATCCTGAATATACCAGTGCTGTTGTCGAGGTACTTATGATGGGTCCCAGGTAAGTCATGAGTCTATTCCAAGTAAATTTCAAAGTCAATTCGCTAGTCCGGTCACAAGTTAATGAGGATAAACAAAATCAAAGGAATGCCTTTGTCGTAATTCAATTGAATAGCTTGTGACTTGACACACTATATAGTTGAAAGAACTAGTCCACATAATCCCATTCTTAATATGTGTTAACCAAAAAGGTAGTATAGAAAAATGGATTATGTATGCTGCTCTTCATATAGTTGATAGTTTGGTGTGTGTACTTGTGGCCGTACCAATTCATGCTGTTGTGAAGCTGTCTCGTAATAAACAGAATTCATGGAGAATTCCCATGTGACCTTGTGTTCTGATTTTTGGGGTTTTTTTGGCAGCAGTTAATTTTACTGCCTGCAGTGATGTCCTCATGATATTACAAGAAACACATGTTACAAAGGTTTTAAATGGTTAAATTATGCATTCTCTTTTTCCACAAGCATGTACACCAATACCACACTGTGTTTATGGCCAGTTACATTGCACCACTGCCTATGACCAACAATGTGACCGGTGTGATGGAGACTATGGGCCAAATGGAGCAGCCTACTCAAGAGTCAATAATGGAAGAGAATGCAGAAGTAAGTTGAATAATCAATCTGATTTAACATCATATCAAACTACAATGACTTGTGTTTACTAAGTTAAGACAATAACTCATGATGGAATTTTTGTACTGGGACATTTAAGGTAGATGAGTGCATCAGTTATAATTTGTGCATTATGTTCGTTTGAGCAACAAAAGTGCTCAAGATCTGAAGAAAGATGCTTAACAATTAACCTGGTGAAGTTTTAGCTCAGTTATATTCCGAGAAAAACAATTTTTAAGGATCTCGATTACGAGTCAAATGTTGCTGAGTCATGTTTTGAATTGGGCCCGAATCAGCGTCTAGGACACGTTCTCATTCAGCAGATTGCAGTTACGCGATGTAACGCACTGAACCGATGAATAATAGCAACCGTGCGCAAGTGCGTTGTGTCAACGCTTGCACGCGCTTCGCTAAATTAAAATCGAACTACAGACATTTCCAAAAATTTTGGTCTTTAGACGCGCCGTTTGAAATGCCTTCTTTCATTGTTTTCTTCAAAATGACAGCTTGAAAGAATAATTTCACAAGGATTTTAGTCCTACTATCTTTAAACCAGGTATGCTTTTTAAGAATGATTTTGTCAGTTACTTTTTGAATAGCTGCAAATGGACTGTAGCTTTAATGAGCACGATGTATAATCTGTACTGTCTGAAAAGTTGCATGCATTTAAAGGTAGAGTATATAATTTGTAGCTATCCAAAAAGTAATGTCTGACAAAATTATTGTTGAAAAGTTGCTTGGCTGAAAGATAGCAATGGCAACTCCCTCTGAATTTGTTCTTTCTGGCATGCTGTCATTTGAAGAAAACAATAAAAGAAGTCCACTTCCAAAGATGCCTCAGTGACGGTGAATCCGTGTATGGGTGCACGCGTTGACATGATGCGCACACGCACGCACGGTTGCTCTAATTTGTCAGTTTACTGCATGACATTGCGTAGCTGCAATCAACTGAATGAGAATGTGGCCTGATACTGATTCAGCCGCAATTCAAAAGTAACACTGCAGCTGACTTTTGAATTGTTGAAAAGTAAGTGTTGCATGTTGCTACATTTGGCAGGGTTCTCGCAAACATACCTTGGCGGGTTGGGTTTAACAGAGCTAAAAGTTCATCAGATTAGTTTTTAAGTACCTGTCTTTAGATTTTCGGTACTTTTGTTGCTTCAAACGAAAAAAAAATACCCAAATGACAAATGATAAACCCTAAATAATCAATGTACATAAAACTCTTTCTGATACCACTAGAACAATGTTCATGGAGGACTGACAGCAATGCTTGCTACCCAGGCTCCTGCACAGACGCCAATTGCACATGCAGCAGTGGATTCTCAGAAACAGACTGCAGAACAAGTGAGTTTGTATATTATATGTAAATTGGAGCGTGTAGACTCTGAGTGCAAACTTAAGAGAGCACAGTTAAGTTATACTTTCGGAGGACAACTTACTTCCTTCATGATTGGACCTAGTTTATGTGCTATATATGGCTAAGACATTGATAGGTATGCTTTCTCACGACTTCAGTTGGCAGCAGTCAAGCACCAGTCTTATCAGAGTATCGTGCCACCCTGGAAGAAGGGACGACAACTCTGGAATCTCCTGCGGTCCAGAACAGTACAGCCACGGTCTACACCAATGTACACAACTTTGAGAGCTTGATGATCAATTGGATAAGCTCCTACCAACCGACTGGACTTCCAGACCCTTCTGCCGGTGGACATCCGTACATCCAAAAAGCTAGGCTGGGTGTGGTGGAGGCAACAGTTGATGCTGTTGTGAATCGTGAGTTCATCCTCCAAAAATTTACAGTAGAAGTCGTCGTGTGCCAAGGAATAGGTCGTTAGCAGCCCAGGCACGCAAAAAGCACTTTTGGGGATAAACGAGTTAAACATTCTGTGCTCCCATTTCTAAATTAAAAATCACATAAGGCTGAAATGTTCACATATAAAATTTGTTAAGAATTAAAATAATATTGTGCTTTTTTTGTTTCAAAGTGTTACTTAATATTGAAGTTATTTTCAGTTTAACGCTAACGACCTATTTCCGGGAACCACCCAACCCCGCCTTACACGAGAACGCCCTCTACATTAAATCCTAATTGCCTTTCTTTGGCAGATTGGCTTTGCAAACCAACTTGAGTTGGATGTTAGCGCACGTGGAGCATTATTCGTTACATTAGCATTACACGCTAACGACCTTTTTGCCAGGCAAAAATAATGAAAAACCTCATTTTCACTTTTTCACTCTGTTAATTACATCAGTATGACGTAAACCTTTAAGACAAATTGTTTATCAAATTAAAGATATTTCCATGCTCTATAGATTACCCTTAAAAATTCGAATTTGACCTTTTGACCCATTTTTCGTCCTAACGACCTTCTTCCACGCACCTTACGACGTGTACACAGGTGATTCGGTTATGAAATACACTCTTTGCAAGTTGGATGTTGGTCATATTTGTTTTTATATTTTTATCAGTGTGCATACATGACGTTTAGGCAAATTTGGAAAAAAAATTAATATCAAAACACCATGCTATTCTGAAACGTCTGTGTGCTTTTTACGATTTCTCTCTAGACTTGCCCTGAACCATACCCCCTCCCCTTATCCAGCGAATAACTAGATTGTCACCATTCTTTTCCATGCATTAAGGAGGGACATCAGTGATATATCAGATCGCTTCACAACCCTGCTCACGAACAAGTGGAGTGAGTTTTACTCGAGACGACCCTGCTACAGACTTAGTTGTCTGTGAAAACACAAACAACTTGAACTACAGTCACTGGACCCCAGCAACTGGAGATGTGTAAGCCATAACTGTTTGTATACAGCTAAGAGCAACGGGACAAGGCGATTGCCAAGCAACTGGTCTCGGCTAGAGCACACGAAATTCTGTGCAATGGATTCAGACTTATATGGCTATTGACTGGAAGTCTTGTTATGAATCTAGTGAACACAGTTATATTGCGCATCGGGTGCGGTTAACCAGGCCATGCTGACCCCAAACAATATGGATATACATTGTAAACCAAGTCAAAACCGAAACCGTTATGAACTCCCCAAATCCGAGCCGACCCGACAGAAATGACCGGAACCGACCCGAAACATGCAAACCAACCCCCAATAAAACACATGAATGTCTGGCTTGTGCAACTGTGTATACTTTTAGAGTTTCAACTTACCCGTGTTGCGTGACGTTGCCATGACGTCACGCTATTTTAAAAGTGTGGATTTGGATCTACAAATCTCTTACACTGGTCACAAAGTGTGATTCAGTACGACGAATCTTTAGTAAAGTGTGGATTCGGAATTACGAATCCACACTTTGAACACGTCGGACAATTGTTCTCCATAATGAACCAGGTAAGGTTTTAAAGGGTGGTGGCACAATATCAAATGTCCCCCCCCCCCCAGATTTTTGAACTCGTGTCCCATTTACAGGGCCCTATTATGTACTTCAATGTATCTTTTGCTACGAAAATTAAAGCATGGAGAAAGTGGTAAGAGATTGTTTCAGATCACACCACAGAGCATCTAGAATCCAATTTGTTTCGGGGCCGTTAAGCGGCCCCGAACCCCACGCCGGAAAGGCTTCGCGCTTCGAGCCCGCATCAGTTCTGATCAAGGTATGTCCCCCCCCCCCCCCCCCCCCCACTTTTGAGAAGCGATTGACGCCCCTGATGGAGAGTCATTTCAAGTATTTCCTAACAAATGTGAAATATTTCTTAGTCCCAGATTCATGTCTTATCATCATTTTTGCAACGAATGACCTTCATTCAACAGAATCGTACCATATACAGTACGGTGTAGACTCGTAACGTTACCTACTTGTGGGCCTACACGTTGTATATTGTGCGTGACAATGCACCACAAACCACAAGCACATTCGTGTGGTGGGTTGATCGGGCACAGTAATTGCGTCACGTGAATATCCGTACTGTGTCGTATGTGTGTGGGTTTTGCTTTATAATTATTTTTACAAGATGGTTTAACTGACCGACCTGACCCGTAAATTGCAAACGCAGAACCTAAACCGGCCCGACCCGACTGAAATGATGGTAAAATTGACCCGACCCAACCCGAAGTTGTTTTCGGGTCTGATTGGTTTCGGGTCGGGTTTGCTCAACATTAGTACACAGTTGGCAGGATAAGCCCATTACAATCACAAACAACCAGCTGGGCTATGTAATTAAGTCATAAGTTTCAGCCATTGCATGGACCCTCTGGGACCAGCTAACAGGTAACCAAGCAGCCAAAACTTCTTGTACATTTGACTTTGTAAGTTATGGGAAATTTATCACTGATGATTGAAGTGTGGGGCAGGCTGGCATTCCGATTTTTTTACTCCGCCTCAAACACAAATGAATACAATTCTTGAGGAAATGGAAGCGACGATTAGAGAGTTGAATTGAAGCTCGATTCAAAGAGTGCATATATTTTGTAATTATCTCCAAACTTCTTTGTCTGTTACAGACTGAGCTATGATGTAACTACAACCAATGGCGGGTACCTGAATCTCTACAACAGAGACTCATCTGATACCATCATCACACGCTACTATGATGGACAGACAGTTTCTAGGAATTCAACTTTCACCTTTGACTTTGATAACCCCTACCACTGTGTGGATGTCGCCAGTGGATGTCGAACCACCATGCTGAATGCAGGGAATGATGTCACCTCACAGGTTAGCCATGATACTTTCGTAATAGCAGCATCTGATGACTAGAATTAGAAGTCGTCACTGCGTTGGTGTCATGCTCACGTGCATGCTGCACGCGTTTTTAAAGACCAGGCAGGCGCGCACACATTTTGGTATCGTTATTGGTCGAAGGAGTCCGGAGTACATGCGTACCAAAGATCCTATAGCGCCGCTACTATAGGATCGCGCTATAGGATCTTTGATGCGTACTACCTGAGCGCGACTGGCACGAGCCTGGTGCGACCCATAGATATAGAATAAAAAGACTAGATCGGCAGCGCGTCAGCGCGATGTTGATCTAGTCTTTTTATTCTATATCTATGGTGCGACCGTAGACAATGGCTGTCGAAGAATTAGTCTGTACATTGTTTGGAGTGGGTAGTGGTTACGTGTAAGACTAGCTTATAGAGTTATTTTTTTAATTGGAATGGCCATCTAAGGTCTGCAGTTGTCTCTCAACTTCTGTATCATCACAGGCTCATTTTAACGTCACTTGGCAAGGTTGGGCAGATGATCTCGCTAGCATCAAAGAATACGACCTGGTGGTCCGACAGCTGTCGGGTAGCCATGGCAACGAAATGACTGAAATCTTTGACAGTCCGGCTGTTTATGAAGGAGTAACCAGCTCTGGACAGACTGTCACCCTGCCCCATGTTGGTAGGTTTTGTTGGCTACGTAGCTGTTTGTGAAAGAAATGACAATTAACTTTAATGAAACGGTATATAATGTTGATGGATTTAAACCAGCTGCTTTCAGGTTAGTCTTGGCCCAAGACGCTAGTGATCGATAGTGGACAGTAACTAGTACGCCCTCTAATGGCACCACAATTAAACCAGCGGGCTTAATCGCACTATCATCTTGGCCATTTCCGGTTTAACGTTTTCTTCATATTCTAAAAGATGTGTCAAGTGACGCATTTTTACAAATTTCCGTTTGTAATTTGTTTGCAATTGGGTGAATCCGTGTCTGGGTACATGCAAGCGCTTAGACGACACAGTCGCGTGCGTGCAGTTGCTACCGGTATTATTCGTTGGTTCAGTGCGTGTCATCGCGTAGCTTCAATCGGCTGAATGAGAGTGTGTTCCGGGCGCTGATTTTGGATACAACTCAAAACATGACTTGGCAACTTTTGAATTGAAATCGAGATCCTAGAATATTGCTTTCTTGAAATATACATTGTTCACTGAGCTAGAACTTCATCAGGTTAGTTATTAAGCTCCAGTCTTTAGATTTTGACCACTTCTGTAGCTTCAAACGAAATTGCACAAATCGTCACCGTTTTCAGGAACAGCCACATACTATATTATTATGTTGATTAAAAAAAAAAGTGTTTTCGAGATAATCGCAAAAGAAGTTTCTCATATTTTAAAACTGCAAGAAATACTACTTTGCAACAACTTTGTGAGGCAAGGCAAGCCATCACACGATTCTACGAGAATGTTTACATGAACCCGGTAGTAAGACTAAATACATTAGTTAATTGGTGAAAATTAATTAGTAAAGATATGTGGCACTTCGTAAAAACGCAAATTCAGTTTTCCGACATATTGGCCCTTTCTGTTCAACGTGTATTTCCATAGGTTCGCGTGAGTACGCGCGCGCAGCTGAAAATGTAAAAAAGATATGCGGTTCTTCGTGAAAACGAAAATCTCATTTGACCTACTTTTACGTATTTCCTTGCAATGGGTTTTGTACGCGTTCAAAGGGCCAAGATGTATGTGGCTCTTCGTGAAAACGCAAAATGCATTTATCGAGATTTTTGCCCTTAATGATGTTTTGCTTCTGTCATGGAATAGGAGCTAGTTGTCTCCTATCAGGGAGGGGGTGTGGACTCCACCTCGGGGTTGAGGGTGTGTACCCTTGGGATGGAATAACAACTCTGGACTGCACTCACTGATCTTGAACTTGATTATCTCATCATTTAATTATCTTGGTTCGTCTTCATACATCATCAATTAGCATTGGCACATGGTAGGAACATCAGTATTGTAGAAAACAAAAAAAAAAACAAGCCAGACTGCTCTCACTCACAGCCGCCTACTGCAATAAACAATATAGGGCCGAGTTGGTTGCACGTGTACGATACGCAATAATTTACGAAAAACAGCCATTCGTACACCCCCAAAAGCACACATTTTCCACCTTAAATCATCAAGCCATTCAGCTTAAAGTTCCCTCGTCGGAAGGAATAAACTATAAACTTACTTCTGGCATCCTGTCGGGATGCCTATCATCTCCCAAAAAGAGAGAATTTGGCTTGCAATTTCCAGCAACCTTCCACGTCTTTCAGCCCATCGACAGCGAAAAGCAGAGAGAGTGAGAACCCTGAAAAGTTGTTACACACTCGTACTAGCTGGGCGGACTTATCACTCCGCACTTAGTAAGTGTTTATCTTAATTAACAAAAGTTATAATATGCCCCATAAACTATTCAAACAGAATTAATAATCAATTATGTAAAGCTGAATTTCCCATTTGATAAGCAAAATGTTTTCCAAAGCTTGCAAATGCAAGTACTATATTCCAATGGTTGAGAATGGATACAGTTGTTTACATGGGTTAAGTGGCATCTGCCCAGATACAGTGCTTAACATTAAAGGGACTTCATGAAAGTATGGACACAACTCGAAGAAGTCTACACAATCCAATGCATTAAAGGGGAAAATACCCCGTTCTCCCACACTTCCATAAACATATAAAAATGGTTAAATGCATTGTTTTAATGCAAAATATTTAAAAAAAATCAAAATCGCAAACAAAATGTGATTTTGGACATATGTGGCTCTTCATGAAAACGGTGACGAAATGACAAATGATTTACCCAAATTTAAGATTATTTCAGTTGAATTCCATATGAGGTAACTACTTCTGGTCGCAAAGGATGACAGGTGTAAAGTTCAAAGTTTCCTAGTGAGGATGTCACATCATGTGATGACTGAGTCCTACTCATACAAGTGCACCTATATTGTTATCCACATTTTCTTCAGTGACACTCATCTCATAATCATCTCATCTCATGCAAATCAGTCTGCAGATCAGCCAATTATCATCTACGTAACATCACCAGAGTGAGAAAGTAAATCGATGTCGATTCTAAATGTCATGCAGCTGCTAGCCCTCGTGCTATCAAGAATCGACTACTTCAACTCACTACTCAACGGACTCAAGCAATCCGATCTGGCCCGCTTGCAGAACATTCAAAATAGAGCAGCCCGGGTCATCTCCTCCCTTCCAAGATCACACATCCCCACTTCTCCAGCAGCTTTATTAGCTCCCGGTTGAGAAACGCATCATATACAAAACTGCCTTAATAATGTACAAAGTAACCACTAACTCATCCCCAGAATACATTTCAAACTCACTGGAAGAAACGAAGAAACGAAGAAACTTACGCTCCCAGGGCAACCTATGTATTCCTCGCACTGCAAAGAAAGCAGGAGATAAGGCTTTCACTGTGGCAGGTCCAAGAATCTGGAACTCCATCCCACAACCAGTTCGATGCTGCACCTCAATACACATGTTTAAATCCTCACTTAAAACCTGCCTGTTCACTGGATTCATGTTAATTGTCTTTTTTTTTTTTTGGTGTTTCTTACTAAATGTACTATCAGAGGTGGTTGCGCTTTGTAACCTTTGGAAAAGGCGCGTTATAAATGTAATTATTATTTATATATATTATTATAATATACATCCAGTCTTATACATCCACTCCCCTCCTTCCACAGGTGTTTACTCCGTCATCCTTACCGCTGTTGACAACGCTGGCAATGTTAAACTCAGCAGGCGTTTTGTCTTCTTTGACGACGATCCCGATGATGTCACTGTGCAGAGCAACGCATCTGTGCGATTACTTTCAGCAAATGAAGAAGCCGACTACGAGTGGTTGGTTGACCTCGACTCTAGCGGAGGGATGACATCAGTAGTTCTTGATTGGATGAACAGATTCATTAATATTCATCACCTGAGTCAAGGATTGCTGAAACCCATAGGAAATTACGTCAGCGCTACTATTGACAGTGGTAATTATTGGTTTTAAGGGAAAAAACAAGGTTTTGCATAAGCGATTTTGATGTATCAAACAATGTCCTGTGTTCATCATAAGAAAAATATCTTCTAAACCTTCCAGAGTTTATCGGTGAGTTTTCCATTTCTTCCATGTATTTCCAACTTCTATCGTTACAGCATTACAAAAATACCATTGCGAATCTGTATCCCCCCGTTCATTGCGAATCTGTGTTCCCCATTCATCCAGCGCTTTGGTAGCGCTAGCTGAATTGGTTGAATTCAAGTAGTTTTCTTTACTTTCATGTTTTTAAATTTAATCAAATCATACTTTTACTTAAAGGAGATTTCATGTTCTTCTTCGTATTGTAATCATTGGCTTTGGAGGATTTTTTTAAAGGTAAATAAAGTCCAAGCTTCGGTTGATATATCGGCCAATAAAGACCCTGATGTTGAATACTATCAGGCCAGGGATTCAGACGGTTGATAGCTGTTGAAAATTCTGTCACTGCTGCCTTAACAATGGCCACTGCCTTAATTCTTTCAAACATCAGACAGCTTTCCCAATGGAAAGTTATGGTGCAACTAATTTTTTTTTCAAGTAACCTTTCAGTAGAGTACTCTGAGATAATTAAGACCTAAAACTATGGAGGAAGCATTAGACCTTTAAGAACAATATAAAGATTCTTGATGGTTTGTTTGCTCCTAGATTACGACCAGAACTTTGGACTTCGTGGCCGTGCAGCCATCCCCAATGCCCTTGGCGTGACAGAATTCCGCGTCTTCTACGACATCGACCACAGCGGTGGCAAGACCACTGTCAACGTCAGCGACGACAACTCAGACCACTGGAGTAATGAAGCTGCAAACACACAGGCGACCTACGACCTGACACTGGTGGACGGTGATTCCATTCGGTTCTGGGTGGAGGCCAGGGACCTATCTGGTCACTTTGTGAGGGACAGCGCGTTGGTGCACGCTGATTCTTCCCCGCCTATAATTGAAGACTTCTGGCTGGTACGGGACGGGGAGGTGAATGTATCCATTCATAACGCAGTTGAATTGCATAAAATGAGGTAGGATTATTTCTTGACAGTTGTTTGTTGACTGAGTGTGTGGGTTATGGGTGCATAGCATTGTTACGCCCCAACTATTGCATCGGTCCCAACTATAGTTGGGACTGTCCCAACTATAGTGCGGCAGTTGGGTCGGCCCAACTATAGTTAGGACTGGAATTGCGACGGATGCTTCATGCTTGATAGATCTTGTTGGATTAGATGTTCCGCGGCGCTGGCACCGTGTATTCGTCCTGCATGCATGCCGCAAGGCTGGCCGGTCACGTGGTACTGCCTAGTTGGATGAGTTGTCCAGCTGCTGGGTTTTATTGTCCAGCAAATCATTTTACAAAATTCAAAGATTGCCATAGCCGGCCAACTATAGATGGGCCCCACCCATAGCTAATGTCAAAGGTCCCAAGTAAAGTCGGACATGTAGCAGAGCTGTAGGGAATGTTTTATAGTCGTACATCAATGTAAACTATAGTTGGGACCATCAAATATAAATATTGCAGTGGCCCAACTACAGATGGTCCCCACCCATAGATAATTTCATTGGTCCCAAGTAAAGTCAGATGTGTATTAGAGTTGTAGGAAATGTTTTATAATTGTACAACAGTGTACATTATAGTTGGGACCGCAAAATAAAAAGATTGGGGTGGCCCAACTATAGATTCGCCCCGTCAATAGCTAATTTCAGTGGTCCCAGTAAAGTCAGACGTGTATCAGAGCTGTAGGGAACGTTTTATATTTGTACATCAATGTGAACTTTAGTTGGGACAGCGCAAAATAAAAAGATCGGAGTGACCCAACTATAGATCGGCCAGCCCAACAGTGGAACTTACAGTTGGGACCGTCCCAACTATAGTTGAGCCAGCCCAACTGTGGAACTACAGTTGGGACGTTGGGACCGTCCCAACTATAGTTGGGCCAGCCCAACTGTGAAACTACAGTTGGGACCGTCCCAACTATAGTTGGGACAGGCCCAACTATAGTTGGCCCAGCCCAACTGTGAAACTACAGTTGGGACAGGCCCAACTATAGTTGGGACAGGCCCAACTATAGTTGGGACCGATGCGATAGTTGGGGCGTAACAGCACTTTCACCTCGGATGTTGCATGTATGCGCCTCGAGGGTGTTCAAAACACAGCAGTCAACAATTGTTTTGTTATACCTCTGTCTTGGATTCTTTGGATTTTGATGTAAAAATCACGAAAACAAAGTGCAGTAAACACGACAATCGAACGTCAACTCACATGCATGTCGCGTGCTTGAAACAGCTGATCTTCTGCTAGTTCGCTGCTCCCACTCATGTTTGAAAACATGGTGAAAATTGCATAATTACAAATCCACAGCTTTATTTACATTTTGAGTTGATAGAGGGATTCTTACATTGTTCTCTGGCCCTTCCTTTTTTAGTGTTGAGTTCAGGACATACGACATTCACAGCGGTATCAGAACCATTGAATGGCTTCTCTTTGACAACTACACTGGCATAGAAATGGAATATGGGAACCAGACTCTTCCAGATAACGACACTGGGCCACAAATGGTACATGGCCATGGAAAAGTAGCTGCAAGAAAATTGAACACGGTAACTATAGGGCAATTGAGACTGCAGTGTTTAAATATGTTCAGCTATTGAGAAACATAATCTCACATTTTTTTTTCAATATAAAAATGCCATGTACTATTCTTTTCGTAGTAAATATTAGACATGTATTTTGCACATAAGTTTAAGGATTTTACGTCTCATTTAATGCTTTCAAGAATGTTTAGTCCAGTTATCATATAACTTTACTACGAAGCACATTTCCAAAAGCATTAGACACTTCGGAGGCGAGCGGCATTTGGGTAATGGCTAATTCTTAACAGTGACTTTTGCTTTTCATAGGAGGATTGTGATCCAGTCAACTGTATGTGTGTTCCAATCGGTGACTGTTACGCTGTAGACTACGGTTTTAAGCCAACATTTCACATTGGTACCCATGACTACGATTACTTCATCACTCTGACGGTTACCAACCATGCAAGAGTGGTAACCACCCAGACAATCCAGGTATGCTTGACGTTGATGTCTACATGTGCAACAATGCCATGGTTATAGTCAAGATATATTGGGAGGCCCCAGCAGAGGATAAATAGCTCAGATGGTAGCTGAGAGAATCAATTGTGACCACTGTTCCAGATGTTGAAGATATATCCACCCACTTCAGATATAATTAATGGAACAAATGTGTGCTTGTGTTGAAGACCCGTTAGAGTCTGGATGGGTGATTAGCAGCATCCAGACTCTGACCGGTCTTAAACAGAGTGTTTAATACCGACTAAGCACATATTTATTCCCATTCATAAATGTAGCTGTTCGGTCAAAAAATCAAAACATTTTGGTCCAAAAGTCAAAACAAGTCAAAAAATAAAATTTCATCAGTTTCACTTCATGTTTTTCGAAACACCCCTCTAGCTAAATAATGGAGTCTCTAGCTCGCGAGTAAAACGTAAAAAAACTCTTCTTCTTTTTTAGAATGGTGCGTACTGTGCGATGTCGCGCAGATGCAGCTGTGGCAAGTGCGTTGTGAATTTAGGACTATGAAACACTGACTCACTGGTAATATTTCGCGTGCCTACGTGAGGATTGTGAACGTTCAACCAATAAAACGGTAAAAGACACTGGATTTCACTGGAGTCCAAATTTCATGTGACACTGGAAAAGTGTTTTTGAACAGCCAGCCATGTCCTTATCATTCGTTTAAGACCGGCCATGTGATGGGCTCTCGACCAATGGGAATGGGTAAACTTTCCTAGGTATTAATGAATAAGGAAATAAATATGTGCTTGGTGGGTTTTCAACAAGTACGTTTAAAACCGACTTATGGCCTGATAATGATAATGGCCCGAGCCGAAGGACGAGGGACATTGTCGGTGACCAGGCCCCATGCCGGTTTTATTTGTTTAATACCGGCCAAGCACATGTTGATTCCCATTCATAAATACCTTTGAGTTAAAATTATAAATTTGCAACGATTTTGTTCAACAATTTTACTTCATGTTTTTTTTAAACACCCCTAGTTATAGTATGTGCCTCTCCCGAGTAGTACTAAAAATCTCTCCATATGGACATTGGCGCACGTGTGACGCATGTGCGATGTGGCGCAGAACGCAGTGGCTCCGGTGTAGTGTGAATTTAGGCCTCTTATACGGGCATTGGTAGTATTGCGCATGCCTACGTAAAGATTGTGAACGTTCAACCAATCAAAGAGTAAGAGAGACCAGATTTCATTTGACACCGGAGAAGTGTTTAAAACCAGCTCGCTGGTGTTTCATCAACAGTTTAAAACCGGCCACGCGACAGGCGCTCGAACAGTAGGAATTGGTAAACTGTCTTAGGTATTTATGAATATAAATTCCCATAAATTCCTACAAATGCAGATATTCTTATTCCTACTTATTCATGCAGATAACAGTAGACACGTCAGCCCCTCAAGCTGGTGTGGTGCATGATGGGATACGCGGGTCAAATGAGGTAGATTTTCAGGAAGGCAATGACCTCTCAGCTCACTGGGAGGGGTTCTTTGACAAGGAGAGTGGGGTCAAGTTCTACCAGTATCTGTTTGATGATTCCTGCTGGACCAGCAATACATCAATCGGCAGCGTCAGGGATTCGGTAGGTTTTGGATCGAGGCTTTCGTTTGTGCCACAGTGTTGTTTTGGTAGTCAGACTGTTGAAGAAATACAGACGTTGAATACGTGACACTATCTGACCTGCTGAGTTCATTACCAACAGAATGAAACGTAGGATGTGCATTAATGTTGTGCAAACCCGACCCGAAAGCGAAACCGACCCGACTTCGGTTTGTTATGGGTGGGTCGATTTTCCATCATTTCGTTGGGTTGGGTCAATTTCATAAACAAGAATGTAACTGAAATGATTTATGTTTATGATGTTGTTTCTCCAAACAACATTATGGCGTAATCCTCTCAACATTTCTAACTCTGTTTTCCACACTCAAAGTTCACAATAATTGCGAACATTTTTCTCATCATCCACTTACCCTGAATCTGTCCAACTTGAAATATTTTTTTTTATCAAACTAAGTCCATATTAAAGCAAGGATGCAAGTAAGGTGTAAAGGAAAGAAGATGACAATCTACCACTTTATGATGCAACCACCCTCACATTATTTAGGATTGCCTCTTTACGCCTGCTGTAGATGAACAGAACAACCTCCACGCATGCAAGTTGGACAGCGTCCTCACCTGGCCAGTACTACGTCACCGTCATCGCTTACAACCGAGCCCTGGAACCCTCAGAGGCCGTCTGTTCTGACGGTGTCGTCATCGATACCAGCCCTCCTGAGGTGACCCAGATTGCTATCAGCTATGCCCGGATGTGGCCTGGTCTGGCTAAGGATGTTGGTCTGGCTAAGGATGTTGAGGGTCGGGTGTGGCTCATCAACGAGCATCGCAGGAAGATAGAGCTGATGAATGCGTCCAGTGACTGCAGGTAGGGACCAAGGACATAAATCCTGTGTGGGAGCTGGGGCCACATTTTGACCGGGGGGTGGGCAATTGGATCAACCATCCGCCACCCACATTTTTTTTGTGAGAAACAAAAATTTTAAGTTATGTTTTAACTTTCAAACATTCCAAACGTTCCATGGATCTGTCATTCTGTTGTTTGTGCACTGGTACTCTCACGCCTTGACTACTGCAACTCTCTTCTCACCAGACTTAAACAACATGATCTCAATTGCCTTAAAAAACTCAAAAACAAGGTTCCTTGACTGATCCATCTGAAGCCAAATTATTTCCATACTTTACTGCAATCAGTTTTCCCCACCAAGAAGTACAAATTTATGAAATAGGAGATGCTTTGCAATGTGATTAACATATAAACACGTACATGTTGCTATATATTATTGACATTCTCTGCATTACATTAATGTATTTTTATACATAGTGCTAAGGCTGCTCTAGTAGATGATTTGTCTGTTTATCCTGAGATGTCTGGCACCAACGACACCTCAGCAGTCCTCCAAGGAGACCTAAACTGCCTCTGGATCTCAGCCGTCCAGCAGAAGTTCTACCTTCCGACCGACAAACACGTACGATTTACAGATATGCTTGACTGGGTTTAGCTGGGCAAAACTGGACTGCAGAGCTTGGTTGGATGGGATGGGCATGGCTAAGTTGGACTGAGATAATCTGGTCTTGGCTGAACTGGGTTGGTCTGGGTCGAGTAGTTGGTCTGGGCTGGGATTGGGTAAGCTAGACTGGGCTGAGATTGGCTGGCATGGGCTAAACTGGGCTTACATGTAAATATGCAAAGGATATTTCATTACTGAAGTCTACTTTTCTGATTCTGTGCTTGATTGTTGTTTTTTGTCATTAATAACAGGTGATCATTTCTTGGACTGGAGAGGATGAAGAAAGCTCAATCTATGACTTTGAGATCGGTCTGAGCACTGACCCCTCCAATCCGACCCCTGACCTTGTGACCTTCATGTCTACATCGGGTCATGATCACTTTGTGATGTACCATCCTCATATCAGCCATGGATCTGTGTTCCATCTGGTTCTGAAGGCGATCAACAAGGCTCAGTTATCTCTATCCAAGGTGTGTGAAAAATATATTGTGCAGAACAGATAATATACCAACCAGATAACTAAATGTCTATGCAGATGGAACATTACGTGATCTATTCGGTTCTATTCCCGGTTGGGATGATTTCACTTTCCCCTTTTTAAGTTTAACTGACCGTCCTGGCTGTTTTCCTGTTTACTAGGTAATTGGGCCAATTATTGTAGATACCACGCCGCCCATGTTTGTTGGACATGTCTCGGTCCGTGTGAAGGATGAACACTTGATAGCTGAATGGGGAGATAGTGGCTTCATTGATGATGAGGATACCAGTCTGAGATACCAAGTTGCCATCGGTGAGTCAATCAAACCTATGAAATCAATGAGCTTGTGTATCCTTTCATTATTTGGATCTTTCTCCTGATTGAATAAAGAGTTTTTTGTGCATTGTTTCAGGGAGCAGTCCAGGTGGCACGGAAACTCTTGATTTTCAGTCAGAAAAGGACTACAAAATGGGACCATGTACATCTGTGACATCTTGCGCTGCGTTCTTATTGGCTGACCTAGACTGGCATCTCCATGGTGATCATGAGTATTACGTGTCGGTCCGAGCACACAATGGTGCTGGGTTAGCTACAGTGGGGACGTCATCAGTTTATAGACACATCGTACAGTTACCATCCCGGGGTGTTGTATTGGATGTCGCACCCCCTGGGGAAGGTGCAGTCGTCAACTTAGGGGTATAACTGTGAAGTATTGTCTTTCCTGTTGTCTCTCATTGTAAACTGCCATCATTTGAAGGGAAAAATATGTGCTTGGCCGGTTTTAAACAAGTACGCGTTAAAACCGGTTTGGGGCCTGGACGCTGATAATAGCCTGAGCCGAAGGTGAGGGACATTATCGGCGACCTGGGTCCAAGCTGGTCGTAAACGTACTTGTTTATACCTGCCAAGCACATTATTCCCTCATAAATACCTATTCGGTCAAAAAGTAAAAAATTATAATTTCCAATGTTTTTTTTTCAACAATTTTAGTTCGTGTTTTACAAAACAGAGATGCCACTTTTCCGGTTTTACCCGGAATTCTGTTTTTTGAAAAATCTCACAAAATTCTGGGTTTTTATGCCGTAAAAAACCTGGAAAAAGAGATAACAAAACTTTTGAAATCGTTGATTTTGTTTACCTCGTTAGCGCTCTCAAGTTTAGTACATGCAGGCCTAAGGATTGCGCACGCACGGCACATTGTTGTGTGTTGAAGTAGTCTTGAAAACAAGTCTTTGTTGTTGCCGAGTCTGCATGAGATACAGGCGGCCAACGTACTTGCACGCAGTGTACAACGGCGCCTCGTGGGCTGCACCGCGTGCGGGCATGTTGTGTGCTAAGCACACGTAGCATTTAGCCTGGAAATCAAGTCTATCGTATCAGTTATCAGTGGTTCCCGATCGCCGTGAAATATGTGAATACAAAAAAACGCCAGGTACCAACCACGTTTTCGTCGCGCGATCTCGTTTTGCAAAGGTCATGTACACCGACAGTGTTGTGGAATCGTGCATGTTTCTTGTCGAATATTACTTTGGAAATTCAGGTAGGCAGGATAAATGATAGGAATATGGAAAAAGTCAAAGTGATTGAACGAACCGACAGCTTAAAGGCCACAGAAGCAAAAATAAAAAATAAATGGAACTGGGCTTGGCTACAAGAGAAAGATGACAACGGGAACTTTGTGTCGGAGTGGCTTGTTTACAAAAAAAACAAAGTTCCTGTTTTTTTTCAAACAGACCCTGTGGCATCTCTGTTTGAAACACCCCTCTAGCTCTGTTATCGTATGTGCCTCTCACGATCGAGTAGTACTAAAAATCTGCTTATGTGGTCATTGGCACGTGCGTGGCAGGTAATGCGCGATGTGGCGCAGAACGCAGCGGTACTAGTGTAGTGTAAATTAAGGACTTTGTGAAAAACGGACTCATTGGTAGTATTGCGCATGCCTAATAGCAAATATTGTGAATGTTCAACTTATAAAGGGTTAAAAAGGACCAGATTTTATAGTAGTCCAAATATCATGCGACACCGTGAAAATGTTTAAAACCAGTCAGCTGGTGTTTTATAGACCGTTTAAAACCACCCACGTGACGGGTTTTCGACCAGTAAGAATGGGTAAACTGGCTTAGGTATTTATGAATTAAACATTAAATAACTGTCAGTTGTTTCTGTTCATCTGGTTTTGAGATAAAAATCTTTGAGAGTGGCTTCGGTGACTGTGTACAAAGGCTTCAAGGCAATTGCTTCAAGCCCTTCATCAATACTACTTCTAATTAATTTAGATGGTACAACCACATTTGTAATGTGTCTTTGTTTATGGTTTTTCTATTATAGAGTAAAATTTTAAAAGAAATTTAACCCACTGCTTTTGTTTGCTTGCTCGTAGGTAGCCAAGGATATTGACGTTCAGATAAACACCACAAGCATCTCAGCTCGTTGGTTTGGTTTTGAGCATCCTCATCTTGATATCAACTATGAGATTGCCGTCGGATCAGAAGGAGATGCTACTGATGTCAGCGGTGGTTTCATTGATGTTGGCAACGTAACCTCGTATCGACTGGATGGACTGGATCTCACACTCCTTGAGGTAATAAGAACCTGGATTTGAAACGGTTGAAATTATTGAAATGAATTTCCCTTATACTGAGATCTGACTTCATTTTGTCATCTTTGTGGCCAAATCTTATTGACAGATCTATTACGCGACCATCCGCGCAAACTCTGAAGCAGGTAGCGTCAACGTTACTTCAGATGGTGTCAAAGTCATTCAGGCGGGTCAGGCACTGGAAGGAGCTGATGCCAAAGACGGACTGGGCTGTGATCAAGATGAAAGTAAGGCCTTTTACATTTCTTAGACATTGCATTCTTTAGATTGGTTGAAAATATTTAAAATTGGTCACGTGTTTAAGTTTGAAAGACGTCTCTCCAGATCGGTGGCTGTCTGTTGAACTATCAACCTCGGCTCGTTGGACAATCCTTCTACACTCTTATCAAACAGTTGCACATATATTTAAGGTTGATACTTTGATTCTCTAGATCTGTCTTTCTTCACTCTACTCTTCATTCACATTTTCTTTCTTCCTTCTTGCAGTGTATGTGCCATCAGGATCCTCCCATCACTCATCCGTTTTGGTGGAAATCTACCGCCCGATTGTGAATGAGTGTTGACTATTAACCTCTGTTAATTAATTGCACAATAAAGACAACAATGCGCATCAGCTAAGCCCGAATTCGCACTCGTACAGCTATAACGGCTTTGTACTTGCGACACAACAGCTAAACATACAAGCGCAACCCCAGTACAGCTAAACAGACTTTGTTCCAATCGCCTAAGCAATTACACCTACGCAGAGTACAAGTAATTTACCTGCCCGCTGTCGCAGCTATACCACTAAACCAAATCTCCGCTCAAGGCCCCCGGCACTAACAAGCACCTAAAATAGCAGAGCCTCAAAACTAGACACTCAACAACTGATCACAATATTGCCAAACAGTCGATTCCTAAACCACTACCACGATCATTCCTTAACAGAGCGCGCTCTCCCAGGCACGCATTTATATACCAGGTACGTGTAGACGCTATGTGCATGTACTAAACCTATAGCGCGCTAAACCTATGGGAATTATTAACCAATCACGTACGTGCAGCAATTCTCGGAGCTCGTAAGCTGCGCCCAGTCACTAACACACAGTGATCAAGCTTTAATGCTATGGTATGACGTCACAAATAAACACTTTCCGACACACTACTCTCTCTTCATTCACAGTTCCTTGCCTCCTTCTTGCATTTTCTTAGCCATCAGGATTCTCCCATCACTACTGATCGGTTGCTCATCAACCCTGTAAGGATGACATCACCTACCAGTCCTCAACCTCAGACATCTCAGCCTGTTGGACCATCCCTTTAAATCTCTCCTTACTCTCTCTTCATTCACAGTTTCTTGCCTCCTTCTTGCAGTGTCTGTGCCATCAGGATTCTACCGTCACTACTGATCTGTTGCTCATCAACCCTGTCAGAATGACATCACCTACCAGTCTTCAACCTCAGACATCTCAGTTTGTTAGACCATCCCTCTAGATCTCTCTCTACAGTTTCTGTGCCATCAGGATTCTCTCATCACTCATCTGTAGCTCATCAACCCTGTCAGGACATCACCTACCAGGCTTTTACCTCAGACATCTTTGCTCTTTGGACCATCCCTTAAACTCTCTCGCTTCATTCATAGTGTCATGCCTCCTTCTTGCAGTGTCTGTGCCATCAGGATTATCCCAACCTTCATCTTCTGCTGATCAGCCCTGTCAGGATGACATTACCTATCAGGCCTCCACCTCTGACATCTCAGCTCGTTGGACCATCCCTGAGATGCTGCAGCCCTTTGTGACAAATATCATCTGGGCAGTTGAGCAGGAGGTTGAGATTTATTTTGGTAAGCTTAGTCTGAAAATTGTTCAATAGTATTAATGGTTTTCCTTGCAAACTGTGCTTCATAGTCCAAACAAAATGAGAAATCGGTCTTTTTTTTCTATTGGTTTCCATCCAGTCTTCATTGTCACAAACTCAGAGTATTTACATCAAATGTATTAATAATAGGTTCCAATCTGTAGTTTGAAGTGGGATATATGTTGTGTCTTTCACAGATGATGAGCAATCCACAACCGTGTGGATCCAAGTGCACGATCAAGATCTTGGCATGGCATTTCATCATGTTGGAGATGGTATAGGGTTGCACAGAGGAGCTCACTATAGATCAAAGGTAGCAGAAACATCTCCATTTATGGGGGAAATCCCAAAGATACTGTCCATATAGTGCAAATCTCACTCTAGTTTGTTCGTTTCCACAGAAATTCATTCCAAGATAATTCTCTCAGTTATCTATGCGGTCTCTATATGTATTTTTGTATAGGTTCAATTCTGCCACGTTAGTGTCTGCTTCCAACCCATCGTCACTGACGGATTCTGGGTATTGTCCCAACCTCCCGAGGTCGGTCAGATCACAGTCAACAACATTGAGACTACGCAAGGCAGGTCAGAGCTCCGTGTAGTCTTCCAGCCATTTGCACATGATTACGTCCTTTATGACGACCCGCGGGAACTGATGGATTTCTATGAGTGGAGCATTGCTGAGGATGGTAGCGATGGAGCACTGCTGAGTCCCTGGATGAGAATCTATGATTTGGTGTTGACTGGAGATGTGGTAAGTGCACAATTGAAGCAGAAAAGTGGGACAGAGTCGAGGGAAAGTACTTTTCAATTATTGAATTTTGAACACAAAGACAGTTTTAAATGTTGTCCATGGATCACATTTAAGGTACGTAATATTTAAGTTAAATAAAACCACGTCGTACCATGAAAACGATGTCAGAATAATTGCATAAGTCTCTGGGGTAGCCAAGTAGAAACCAGGGCAAGACTATAAAACTCTTGACATTATAAAGCATGTTGTTTAAATGTGATGATAAGTGCCAGTTATCATGCTTATAAGAGTGTTCTGACATGTTTTTTATGCCCCGCGGCGAAGCCGAAGGGGCAAACTGTTTCCGCCTTGTGTGTGTGTGTGTGTGTGCGTGTACAAACACTGCCTTGTGGGGTACCGAGGTACCCCACAAGGAATGCCCACCGACTTGCGGGTTACGAAATAGCTATATGGATTTCAATCAAAAACTAGGAATTTCCAAGGTGGGTTGATCCGTCGCAAATGGAAGAGTTTTGGAAAAGGGATATTAAGACCGAATTTCAGCCCGGGACATTAACTCTGATTAAAATAAGAGCATTTTGACATAAGTGTGCGACGTTGAAAAATTGTAGTACACGTACGAGAACAAAGGAAGCACTTCTATGGCTGTGTAAGTGTGCGTGCGGATAAATCTTGTCATACAGCGCGATAACTTGAGAAATACTTAACATATGAACTTCAAATTTGGTTTGTGTATTGTTCTTGATAATCCTAAGTAGCCCATTGCAATTGGGTCCGAAAGGTCAATGGTCAAGGTCACACTGGCTAAAACAATAGAAATTTTGTCAGCGCGATAACTTGAGGAATACTTTACATGTGAACTTCCAATTTGGTATGTGAATTGTCCTTGGCAATCCTTAGAAGCCTATCACATTTGGGGTCGAAAGGTCAAGGGTCAAGGTCACAGTGGCTAAAACAGTAGATATTTTGTCAGCGCGATAACTTGAAAAATACTTTACATGTGAACTTCATATTTGGTTAGTAGATTGTCCTTAGCAATCCTAAGAAGGCTAATGCCGCATTTGGGACGAAAAGTCAGGGGTCAAGGTCACAATGGCTAAAACAAAAGAAATTTTGTAATGGCTTTAACTTGAGGAATACTTTACATGTGAACTTCAAATTTGGTTTGTGGATTGTTCTTGGTAATCCGAAAAAAAAAGCCTATTGCATTTGGGGACGAAATGTCAAGGGTCAAGGTCACAGTGGCTAAAACAATAGAAATGTTGTATTTATTGTGAGATCATAGGGATTAATTCATATAAAACCTACAGAAAACACTCATGCTGTCAATGAACGTGCCATGTGACCAAGGTACATGTAAGTTGATGTTAAAAGAGTGGTGTTATGTCATGGGAACAGTCACGGTTGCGGGGCATTTGTGTTTGTAAACACACCTGACTTGTTTTTATTTATGAATTGTCTTTATTTTGCTGAAATATCACCTACTTTTGTGATCAGTGGACAAAATGATAAAACTGTGTTTGTGTTTAAAAGTCTATAACTGGAAAAGTACATGAGCGATTTGAATGATTCTTAAATTTTTGCGCTTTCATACCCTAGATCTTGAACGCGCTACATGTAGAACTTCTTCAAAAAATAGGTGGCGCCATTTGGGTTTCTTTTTTTTTACTCACTTTGTATAACATTAAAGTAAACAAACTTTCTGGAAAATTAATGCAATGGTACAATTTGTATTCCGGGATTTATTTGTCTAAGGGGCGTTGTGTTTTAGGGTAGGATGGTTATATACAACAAATAGCACTGTTTTGAGAGTAATTAGTAAATTCTTTCTTTAAGAGCTAGGCCGTTTGTCTAGTTAATTAAAAGATCATTGGGTAAGTATGGTTTGGTTTCTATGGGGGAAAAAATGCTTCTGGCCTTAATGATGAACAGTGCAGAACCTGTGAACTGTTACTTCAATTGATCATGAAAATTCCCCTGTCATTTAGACACCAATATTTCACACCCTAAGCTTTGATGTAAATCTTCTTTTTAATCTTGCTGAACAGGCTCACTTCACAGCATTCTACAGTGAGTTGCTAGACCTAGATATCTGTCTCCGGTTATCAGTGAGGGGCTACAATAAGGCTGGTCTGTCTTCCATCGCCAGCACGGAGATTGTTGACTGTGATGACGTGAAGCTGATCGTCCCCCATATTGTCATTGATGCTGATCGTAAGTTTCTCTTCGAAATTTGAATCAAGGAATCAAGCCCAGGATTCGGCAGAAATTTTCAACTTTGAAATACGGCGGGTTTCTCTGATTGTCTCGATTTCACGGTACTGCGATATGCTGTGCTTAAAGTATTGCACAACAAATGAAAGTGCCAAGAATCACACGAAAGTTTCAGGAAATTTTCAGAAGAATGGTTCTGATTAGTGCATAATTAGAATAACATCCATCATGTGCCATATCCATGTGCTAACCAATGCTTGCATACATTGGGTTCCTCCCACATAACTCTCACAATAATCCTGCAATACCTGTTTTTCTGTTAATGCATCGTGTCCACAACGAACGCTTCACATTTTTATAATGTTTTGAACAGATGAAGTCATCATTGAGCAGAATGCATTGTGGCGGGAACCAGACAAGAATTACATCTCATCTACGTCTTCATTATCAGCAGTCTGGCCTACTCTTCGTCACAGGGCCTACACCTGGGCGGCCATTTTGGATACCGGATCCTCTGCATTTGGCGACTTGGACGATGGTCTGCAGTATCCCTGCGATCATCCAATGGCGAAGGCTTGTGGGGAAACAGGTTGGAAGATTGAGAGTAAAATTGATCAAAATCCGTGGAGAGTACAAGTAAAAAATTATCTTTTTAAGGTTTTAATCGGATTTCATTTAAAAAATTTATTTGGAAAAGACGTTTTTGGACGATGAAAAAGTTTGAAAGGAACAGTGGGGAAGGGGAAGTGACTTCATCATTGGTGAGGTTAACCCTGATGTAGTCACATCAGGTCCAGAAAGAAATGCATTATTACGCAAGCTCAATAGACATTAAATACTAAGAAACCAGTTTTGAATGTGTTCTCAGAATGTATTTCATAAACTTCATAGTAAATTGTTGAGTGGAATAATGCCAGACTATTTTTGTGTTCCAAGCCTCACTTTCATTTTTTTAAATGTAAATTAAAACATTAGGATACGTTAATTGTTCATCAGAGCAGACTGGTATTAATTTGTAATTAAGTTTATTTTATTGCTTTCATTTCTGTTCCCAAGTTCCATAAACTGAAGATTTGACCTCGCTTTCAATTCAATGTGGCTGACTCGTGAATCAAGCCTATTGGGATTAGGATACAACACACTGTAATGTTGGTTATGGTTTCGACAGATAAAGAATTCGTCAACGTTCGTGATTTGGTCCTACATTATGGCCAGCGCTATCGCATTTGCATCCACGCCGATGAAGTGACATTGGAGCATGAGTTTTGGAATGAGCCGCTGCCTGCTGTGTCCAGCTGTAGCGATGGCGTTGTCATAGATACGACCCCACCGACCCCAGGCTCTGTTTGGATCGGGTGGGATCAGCATAAAACTTACCAAGTAAGTTTTTCATTTGTCTGCGTTTATTAAGCTTTTGGGGTACAAGAAAGGAGAGATTTTCACTATCAGATGCGGTAGTCAGTTGTAAATTGTTTTAGTTGTGGTCATGAAGTGATCTTTTTATTACCCAGCCCACTGTAACATTATCTGGTTAACCCCTTCAGGCAACTAGCTAAAACCACAGATGATTAGTGCACACACTCTGAACACACTGATCTGATATACCGTCCCCTAGCTCTGGAGACGTGCACACAATGGGGAACAAAAGATTGTATACCTTTCCACAGGACAATTTCTATAGATGAATACGTCACCACAAGAATTTCACTAAATATGTATGTGGATTTTACAACAAAGAAATGTCTCCACGAGAATACAAATTTCAGTAGGTGTGCATACACACATACACCATGTATTCACACTGCACGTGTGGATGCAAATTCCCACAATTCAGGATTTCCGTTGTTCATGCATTTTTTTCCAACGATTCAATAAATACTTGATAAAAACAAGTATTACGTTGGCTGTGAAATGTTTGAAAATCTGCATGTGTTTTAAAAGATGTAGGCATGCCCCACAAGCCATTCAGCCATACGATACTAATTGTTCCCTGCTGGTGTTAGGCATTCATCTGGCAATATACCATTAAGGGAATTACAGCTTGAGATTAGAGAGGGGTGGAAATCCTGGTACGGGATCTGGCAAAAACCAAAATATATACTCCGGTTTTCTGGTATAAGGTGATCGATTCACGGCATGTAATTTATGTCTGGTTCATGAGGTGATTTTCTCTTTTCAAAGCCTGAGCCCTTTTTATACCAGGAGTTTGGATGTTAATCTCTGACTGAGCCCAGTGTAGCACTGAGAAGAGATCAGTAAGTCTGGTTGAGATCAAAAACCCAAATATAACTGGCCAGCTGGGGTTTACTGCTACAGGATGATTCACGGCATGTACCCAATTCTTCATTTTTTTGGGGTAGTGATCTCTTCCTAACCACTTAATTTGTGAGGTTGGTTCATGAAGGTAACATTCCTATTTTTTCCTCCGGTCATTTTTCTTTAATCTAGAGTTCTGTGTCTGAGTTAGTTCTTCAGTGGGAGTCCTTTACTGACATTGAGGAACACGGCATGGCACGACATCACTCTGGGATCAAACACTATGAATATGCCATCGGTAGGAGCTGCTTGGTTTTCATAAATCTACAAACTGATCCTTTGGCATTGGATAATGCAATAATCACATTCATCTATCGCACTAGTGGGGTTGATGATTGTGATTATTAAGGGAATAAATATGTGCTTGGCCTGTTTTAAACAAGTCTAAAGATCGGTGTGGGGTATGGACGCTGACAATGTTTATCGGCAACCAGTCCCATGCCGGTCTTAAACGGACTTGTGTTATACCGGCCAAGCACATATTGATTCCCATTCATAAATACCTTTCATAAATTTTCAACTATTTTGTTCCATTCGAAACTCCCGTTTAGCTGTATGATGGTATGTTCCTCTCACGAGTAGTCGTCACAACTTCTTATATGGAGATTGGCGCGCGTGGTGCATACTGCACAGTGTGGCATGTGGCACATGGCACGTGCTGCATTATGTGGCGCAGAACGCGGCGGTGCCAGTGTAGTGTGAACTTAAGACTCTCCAAATGCGGACTCATTGGTAGTATTGCGCATGCCAAAGTGAAGATTGTAATCGTTCAACCAATAAACAGGTAGAAGGGACCAGACTTCATAGGAGTCTTCATAGGAGTCGCATTTCATGTGAAACCGGAGAAGTGTTTGAGACCAGCCAGCCGATGTTTTATCAACCGTTTAGGACCGCCAATCCATGGCTCTCGGCCAATAGGAAAGGTTAAACTGTCTTATAATAGGTATTTATGAATGCATATTAAGAATTATCTATTAAGCAGTGTTATCAAACTTTTACAGCAATTTTGTGAATTCAAATTGTGCTAATTGTCAACTTGTTGATATTTCAGGTTCAGAGCGAGGTGGTGGCGACGTGATTGATTTCACCCGTGTTGGAATCACCGACAGTGTTATAATACACAACATGAGATTACAGAATGGTCATAGTTACTATGCTACCGTAAGAGGTAAGCATCTGACGCAAAAACCAAAAATAAAATACCCACAATTTTATCTCCTTTCTCCTTAATTGCATCTCGTGTCAGTTGTTTCCATTACCACAGAGAATAGGATTTCCAAACTGATATGATTTCAATTAAGAATTTGTTTCCTACCCAGCGACTGACTTTGTAGGTCTGTCGTCACAAGCAATGTCAGACCCAATCACAATTGATACGTCACCGCCTGTCGTCAGTGCTGATCATTCGTTGGACATTGGAGGCAGCTTCATCCGATCTACAACTTCCATCTCAGCAAGGTGTGGTCAACATCCAATCCAAATGTACACACTCATAGGGAAAGATGAAGGAGCACGTAACATCCTAGCAACTTAACTTGCATTTTGTGATAGCAGGGGCCGATTCCACGACACTGGTCTTATCTAGCGACTCATCTTAGGACTTAAGACGAGTCCCCACTCTAAGATTGATCCTAGCAATCGAAAGCGAAAGCGGAAGCGAACTTCCCCCTATTTTTTCTTTCTATGGAATCGGCCCCAGGACACATTTGAGATATGCTAGTTTATAGTACACGGTAAATTTTCGGAAAGAAACAAAAAATGAATTCAGAAAAATATCTACTTTGTTGTTGTCAAACACCACTGCTTGAAATGTATTTTCAGGTGGGAGAATGTATTCTCCGACCAGGAGAGTGGTGTAGCGTATTACGAGTGGGCGGTCGGTTCACATCCAGGTCATGCAGACATCATGCCGTTTACTAGAGAGAGTACAGAGAATGGAGTCAGTGACGCATCACGACCTTTGCTTCTTCAAGAAGGTCACTCGTATTTTGTTTCAGTCAAGGTAGGCCAAAACCTTCATATAGCAGCATTGGCTACTTGTTTTGACTCAAATGATACTGTACTGGAGTTCTATTTGTCATTATGGGAAACGTGCTAAGGTCTGTCAGAAGGGGAGTCAGGTTGGCGTAGCGGTACCTTCCACGTGTAGAACTGTAATTTCTTGACATTGTTTTCTCTTTACTGGGCCCCATGGGTGACCAGTGGATTCCACTGAATTGGTTACCCAGTAAAAATTAGAAATAAATAAAGGGTTTCAAGTCAAGCCATCTTTAAGTTTAGTCACCAGTCAATCGAAAATCTTAAGTTGGGTAATTAGCTTCATACGCCATGGGCCAAAGCCTGTAAGGTGCTATCTCGTCTTAACTGTTTAGTGGCAACTTCATTTCTCATTTATAAGCAGTTTTGAACATGTTAATTGATATTTTACAATGTGCACGCCACATCGTTTGCACAAATTAGAAATAATGAGGACTGTTTCCCCAATGTTACTTATACCACATGAGGGCGATCGCGATGCATTGCTGCCATTACGTACCAGCCTCGGCTGGTCGTGGGGAATACGTAAACGGCGACGCTGTCTGGCTATGCAGAGCATAGTATTCAAATATAACATGGTTTAAGGGTGGACAGTCGATATTGGCTCCCCAAGGTATTGGAAGTTGACAAACTAGTTCCCGAGGCGAAGATACAGATTTTGGCCCATGGTCTATTACAATTGAATAGTAAAATGCATTACTTTGTCAGTATTCACTACCTTTTACTTGTGTCTTGGATTGTAATGACTGGACTTGAACTATGTGATCCACTCATAATCGCTCATGACAAAGACTCACCTCACCAAGCATTTGGATGGAACTTGAACTCGACAGAGGCTCAAAATGAGACTTGAAGCCTATGACTAAAACAAACCTTCACTAACAGGAACAATAGGTGATTCTGTGGCAGGAAGTTTAATCTTCAGTTTGAAATTATGTCACCCAGGCCATCAATACTGTGGGTCTGACCACAATGAAGAGTTACGGAGCATTCACAGTTGATGCAAGCCCGCCATTGGTCGGCCACGTATTTGACGGAAACCCAGCGAACGCCTCGGCCAATCACAGAGACCGAGACTTCCAGGAAGATCGTACGGTGATTAGGGCATTCTGGGAAGGGTTTCATGACCCTCATAGCGCCATCGTTGGCTATTCCTGGAGAGTTGGGATATGTTCAGGGTGTAACGATGTCATACCTGAGCAGCATGTGGGTTTGGACACTTGTAAGTAAATCTGTTAACTAAAACTGGCACCACTCCTTTTGAAATGCGTGTTTTTCAAGCAATTAAGAGGAGTCATTGTTTTTAAAAAAGGGCATATTACTTATATTTTTGAATTTTTTTAGATTTAAAGGAAAACACAACAATCTTTTTGTCGAGTTAAGAAAAGACGATGTGATTAAGATAAAACAGTGTAAAGTTAACAAATTTTCAAATGCTACCTTTTATCAAGCTGTTTTGAAATTGTGATGAAAAAGTGAGTTTGTCAAGTATTACTTAGTGTAGCACGGTTTTGCGCTGGTGTGTTAATGTAGATTTGTTTATTGAATTCCACAATCCCCTTTTTATAATCATACCATCACTCTTTCCAAACATGGTGTGCTAATTGTCAGTGTTGATGCAATTCACTTTCTAGATGTCACTGCGGAGAACCTGAACCTAGTGCCTGGTCTGATCTACTATGTGACGGTGACGGCTTGTAATGCTGCTGACCTTTGTAACTCGGTGACCTCTGACGGGGTCATGGTGGATGACTCGCCCCCAGTAGCGGGGAGTGTGTATGACGGCGGTCCAGGGGGTGGGGATATCACCTATCAATCCTCAAGGTGAGCTAAGGCCAAAAAAGTCTCCGGTTTCTGGTCTGCACGAGCATCGTCGTTGCCATGCGCGTTGGCAAAATCAAAATATTTGTTAATGTACCGTTACTGATGATGTCTCATAACCGTCAAACTCACTGGTTAGACAGGAATCCTGCTGCTGCACAATTGTAAGCTGCTGCTGCAAAGTTTTTAGATGGGGTAACGATCGAGTATAAGCTTTATGTGGCCTCTCTGGGCTCCCATATATTTTGCACTAAATTTAGTCGGGCACCATTTGCAAAAGGTGTTGTTATTTCGTAATGTGCGTCTGGAAGCCAGACTGAGGGAGCGATGGTTGTGTATCTGGAAACCTGTAAACGCTTTTTAATTAGCGCAATATGTGAGGGAGAATGACCAGCCTGGCAGCTCATGCATGATGTCGATGTCGCTGCATGGTCTGACGTTGCCGTTTTCTCTGAATTTTCTCTCGACTATCCAAATTCCTGTCGGTCGAGATCGTAAGTGGGTGCAGAATTCTCAAACCTTATGGCCTTACTGAGGTCACCTCAAGCTCCACCCTAAAAGAATTTGTTGAGAGTTTTAAGGGGATCGAAGCGTCATCTGCAATATTGTCAGATTTTGAAGGGGAAAACAGTAGAGGGGGGAGAAAAGCTCGCGTCGCTGCACCACTTTCCGGGCAAGCTCCATACCAGAAACCTGAGACTTTTTTGGCCTAATCCCTGAACGGAACATCAAATTATTTTTCTGACCACTAATTGGTTGACCATTAACTAAAGTCGGATTTTTTTTAAAATGTAGTGAATAAAATTAAAAATGGCTACGTAACAATAGTTTGCCGCAAATCATTGCAGATGTGTGTCTCAAAGCTCATTTATACATATTCCCTGCAGGGTCCAGCTCCGAGCTCACTGGTGGGGTTTCCATGACCCTCACTCAGGCCTCTCTCACTACGAATGGTGCGCCGGCACAGCACCAGGAGCTGAAGACATTCTCCCTTTTACACGCATCGAGCTGTCAGAAGACGCTCTGATATTCCTGTCAGCATCAGACCAGATGCCAAACGACACCGATATCTACGTCACGGTGCGCGCCTATAACCGGCTTGGTATGTGGAGTCAGGCTACGTCAAATGGGTTCCGTGTGGACTCTAGTCCACCTGATGTGATGGAAACACCTGCTGTTGACGAGACACAGGGGATGGCTGTCAACAATACTCAGGTAGGAGTTCTGATCACAGTAGGCTATTCTGCATTTTTTCTACTTCATCATAATCTTAACCCTATATCTGACATAGAGGTACTGGATATGTTCTATCTAACGCAGTTACAACTTGCCAGCTTTTCTTGATCTTGCATCTGAGTAAAACTTTAATATTTTTTTTTCTCTAATGTGTCTCAGGTTTTGCGAGATGTGATTCACTTTTCCTGGAAGTTCAATGACCCTGAGAGCGGTATTAAGGACCAGTTTGTATCCGTCAACACACATCATAATGGAGATGTCAATATACCTCCAATAAAGGTAAACACCCTAAATAAGAGAAACCAAATTACAATGTAATTTTCAAATTACGGGTAAACGAAATGTGACAGTCGTTGCGTTTTTGGATTACAGATTGCGGGGAGTGAGTTGGACCACACCTTCACCAATCTGACATTACACGAAGGCAGTCATTACGTCATCACCTTAGTGGCTTGTAACTTTGCTGGCCTCTGCACACAGGCCAAGACGGAGCCTTTATTGGTAAGTAACATCCATACATAACCAAACAACCCCAGTCCTGATGTGGTGTTGATTAACCTGATTAACCGTAAGTTCAATCGAGGACAGTTTATCAACGTGTGGTTGATTCATAATGCTGTGTATTACATAGAATTAATAGTTACCCTTTAGAGCCTGATTTTGTTAAGCATGACGTAGCTTGCAAGGTCGCCACTACCTCTTCATTCAGCGTTGTGGCTATATCCCTCCGCTCACTTGTGCATCTTTGGGGCGGTCACGTGATCACAGATCGTCATAGATGGCGGGCAGGTTGTATCCTGCGTCCCTGTTGAGTGTTGGGTTCTGCCCCAAAGGTGGTTACGTGAGCGGAGGGATTTAGCCACAACGCTGAATGAAGAGGTCGTGACGACCTCGCAAGCTACGTCATGCTCAACAATTTAGAACTATTAAAGGTAACTATTATTTCTATGTCAAATTACAGAGTCCAATATCAGTATCAATGCTGCTGTGTATTATGGTTAGGATCATCAATGTGACCAACCATCTTGGTACTGAGCTTCTCCCCAATAGCTGATAGTTTTTTATTAAACTTTGTCATTACTGACGTCGCAGTAGCAAATGTTTCACATTGAATGGAGCAACCATGCATTCAGTAGTAATGTATACATGATTGCAGCAGTTTAGCAGAGTTGTGATGAGTCACTGAGGTTTGTGACTGAGTCATTTTAAGGAAGTAACTCGAGTCGAGTTGAGTCATCAGGTAAAGAAGGTCGAGTCAAGTCGAGTCGAGTCAAATTTATGCTCGAGTCAATTAGAGTCACTGATTTTTGAACACCGTCTAATAATTGTATAATGGAAGAAGAGGTTGATGAACTTCTTTGGTATGCCATAATGGTCAAGGAGCCTCCATAGCACTAATATGAGACACGTTATCGTAATTTCTTTGAACGATGGGAGACATCGGTCATTAGGGAGACATGAACCTAATGTTACAGCCCCCCTTTAGAGGCACAATTTTATTGTCACAATTAGGTTATATTTGTTGCTCGTGGTCTAATTAGCTTACATAGCGAAATTCTGTGCACAAGTCTATGGGGATGTCTACCAAAAGTCCAATCAAGGGTAATTATTATTATAATTATTATTATTAGTCAAACTTGCTATTCCTTGTTTGGTTGTTGTTTGTTTGTTTGTTTGACTACCTCAGGTTGATGGTAGTCCACCGTCTGTTGGGACGTTTGCCGTTGGTACAGAGAGTGCTGCTGACTTGGATCGTCATCATATCATCTGGATTGATCCAACCGAACCAGTAACACCACCTATCACAGACGCAAACCTACAAACCACAGTGAGTCATTTCACAACTTTCATAGTATTCCTCTTTATATGTGCGAACAACTTTCGTTTGGTATTATAGTTAGCAACTGTGTATAAGGCAGAATGCTTGCTAAGCTTTAATCTGAAGCATTCTGAAACGACTTTAAGTCTTGAAAAATGTTGTTTTCAAAGTTGTGTTTTGAGCAAGTGACATGGGTGCTTTCCAGTGGATATTGGTGCACCATAAAAATCTGTTGTTATTATTATTATTATTTCTGGTCATCCATTGACCTCTTTCATGATCCATTCTCAGACTGCCAATATTGCTTTAATGTGAAGGCCCGGGATACTTTAACATATAGTTACATACCCCTTTCGGGCTCAATTCATTTGTTGGGCAGTTTTGGAGTGCGTCCACAGTTCATACTTCAAGTCGTCAGTAATAATATTAATTATAATAGTAATAATAATAACTTATATGTAAAGCGCTTTAAACCGATGATCTCAAAGCGCTTCACAATTATTACCCCTGTTCTGCAGGTCATGAGACCAGTTTCTGCAGCAGCTCGAAATCATCACATTCTGGTCTTTACTTTAACAGATACCCATTTATACTGCTGGGTGGAGAGAGTGAATTGTAGTAAAGTGTCTTGCCCAAGAACACAAGCACAATGTTCCCCGTCAGGGTTCGAACCCACGTACCGTGACACACGAGTCAAATACCGTAACCATTAGACAACAGCGCTCGTTATTGTTTATATCTTTTGAAACAATGCAGATTAATGGCACCAATTTTACCGACTCAACCAACTTCACTGCCGAGTTTGCTACCACAACTGACTCAACCAACTCTACCGCTGATTTTGACAACACCACCGATTTTGACAACACCACCAATTTTGACAACACCACCGATTTTGACTACACCACTGATTTTGACAACACCACTGATTTTGACAACACCACTGATTCATCAACAAACTCCACCACCGATGTTGGAAACACCACTGACTCCATCCTCGCCACCACCCAGAGTCAACCAACCACCCCATCACCCCCACCCTACCACTCTGGTTGGATGACGTGGGTAGAAGACCCCCGTACATCCCATGGTTCCTTAGCCCTTGCCTGGCTGGGATTTGCTGATGTTCACTCTGGTATCAGCCACTACTTGGTCTCCATCGGACGCACCTATGGCGGCTCGGAACTCACTCCGGTATCTCTACACATTTCTTTATTGTTGAATTCTCCAAAAGGTTGTTATTTGAAGGACTTATTACTGGAATTTGAGCCAAAATTCAAACCATTATTTTCGTTAAGATTTGTTGATATTTGATATTTCTACCAATTGTATTTTCTCTTTTCCAAATCCGCATTCTTTAGTCCTTTCTGCGATCTTGTCCATGTTTAATAGCCAAAAATAGAAACACAACTTTATTATAAAACATTCTCAAATGTAATAATGAATCAAGGATTACAGAAGACCGTGTTTATTGTTTTCAGCAACATGGCTTCTCAATTGGGAGTCACTGAGGCGTGACAACAAAGATCAGCTGGTTTTTGCGAGGTTTAAGGCAGTATTATGCCCTTATCCAGACACACTGTTCGTATGGCAAGCAATACGTGAGGCAAAATGAGACGGAACTGGGCACAGGTGAAGACAAATTAAAAAAAAGGAATAAGGGTGATTTTTTTATTTTGAATTATATTGATACATTGTACTTGTAATCTTTGATATGTCTAGTAAACATTTGTTACCAACAAATATTAAATTGTATAAAAAATCTTTGAATAAAAGTGGTTGAAGGAAAAACAACTGGCATCTTTCATTTTCACGAATACAAAACTCGAAACTCTACCGGTCTTTTTCTCAGTATTATGCACTTTTGACGTGTCGATAAAATATGCTAACTTGAAACAGCCATTACTTGTCAATAGAATGTTCGATTGAGTGCAACAAACTCTATTGTGAGGAAAATTCATTCTCTTTCCTAATACCCGTAAACTCTCATTTTGACCTCTGCCCAGTTTTGTCTCATTTTGCCAGAACGCCTCTCATATTATCTTGAAAGCTTCTTTATTTTCTTTTTTGGGGGCCTGGTATACCTTTTTCTCACCAAAAATCAACATCATCACAAGGCCACTATTCCAAACACTAGTTACTTCATTTTTGTCCCACCTTGTCTAGAGTGGATCAGTCCGTGTTAATCATAGCTATGACGGCATGTCATTGGATGAGGGCATCGCGCAGACAGCCATCATACCACTAGAGGGCAGTATAACGGACTTAAGTCCTCCGTATCTCTACATCTCCATCTGGGCTGTCAATGGGGTAAATTAGTCTAACGTTCGATATTGTAGTTGCTGAAACAGTACAGAATAGCCCTGGAAAGTACACATCTAAAAAAAATACTCAAAGGGTTCATGATATGATGTTTTCTGATGAACTAATTTTGTGCAACTTTCTTCTCCTCTGAAATGTATGACAACTATTCGATCCCTTGTTTGGTTAATTTTATTGAAAAGTGCAGTTCTTTTAAATTTTCCATGCTTTAATTTCTAGACAAGTAAAGTTGCTGTTGCTGTGATGTCATTTCAGGAAGACACTGTTCAGTTTAGGGGTTTTCTGTTCAAACTGTGAACCCAAAGTTTGCTCATTGAAAAAATATGTAAGAAATGTTTGCCTAAAGGCTTACTGCCATGTACTGACACAACAAGGGATCACAAAAGAAAAGAAAATTTATAACAGCAAAATATCCAAAATCCTGGCAACCATGCTCAAATAGTAACTTTGAGGTTTCTGACTGAAATGACATCACACTTTTGCTCATGAATATGGAAATTTTCATCAGCATAAAAAGGCACCAACATACCCTTGAAAATGACAAAACAAAAGTTGAAAGTAAGGTGAATTGGGACACAAACATGCCTGATCACTGATGGCATTGATTGCATTAAAAAAAAAATTACATTGCATTGACCCTTTAAATACAAAACTTTCACCATCTGAAGAAGTTTCACCGGTCTCCTATCACAAATACGCAGCTAACTTTTCCTCAGCATTCAATTTGGATTTTTTTGTTCACAATTTCTTCACTCTCGTCTTTTTATCCATCCCAGGTTGGTCTACCAAGCACTCGCCATCATTCTACTTTTGAGGCTTCCCCTACTTCACCAAACGAGGGCGCTCTTGTCCTGCTGCGTCGCTGCATGCCTGCAACATGCGAAGGCCACTGTGCATGTGCACCCATTCATCAAGTGTGTCTTGTGATTCCGCAATGCACTGATCTAACTTACAGTAAGAACAAAAGCTCACTTTGTACGGGGAATTCGTGCAATAATTGTTGCATTCTTTGTAATTGAAATATGTTTTAATATCCTTCAAATCGATGGTTTTCACTAAATTTGGTCAAAATAAATGCATTTGAAGCTTTAAAAGAAGACATTTTGGTATCTACCAACAATAAGGTACTCAAGGCCCTGGAAATTATGTCTATTATTAGAGACAGGTAAATGAAGTACATGAGAAATATGAGAACCATTATTACACGGTGCTGCGGCGCATTTATCACCTTTATAACTGCCCATCCAACCAGATTGCTTTGGTGGCGTATTTTTTTCTTCTTTTTTTTCTTTTTAATAGGGCTAGTTTCATTTACTTTTAGGTTTTTAATCAAATCACACTTTTTATTGAAGTATATTTCATTTTCTTCTTCGTAATCCGTGGCTGTGGAGGATTTTTTTTAAAAAGGAAATAAAGTTTGAGAACCATTCGGTTACGGTTGAGAGTCTGGTTCTAAGAGCCAAGGATCCTGTAGTTAAATATTGTCAGGTCAGGGAACCAGACAATAATGATAGCAGTTAAAAATCACGGTACGGCTGCCGTAACAATAGCAACGGCATTTTTTATAACCACTTTGCCTGTTTCAAATGGGGTTGAGTGATCCAAATATTTGGCAGTGTCTTCCAATATTCAGCTTTTGAGTAGGCCTATATTGTTTTCTTACAATTTTTATCAAGATAATTCCAACACTGAGATCGAAGTTCTGGATGTATTGGATCTGATGCCCAATGATATCGATACCATGATTGATATTGATGACACAGCCACTCAGTACATGGCAGCGGCGTTCTGGCGAGTCACTGAGCAAAAAGGACTGGACATCAAGTGGTGAGTTGAATCGCACAGATATTTGCTGTTATAAAATTGATACCAATACTACTACCACTTAGACACCGCAACTCGGTAATCGACACATTTTCCGATTTTGCAATCCTCACTCCGTGAATCCTCTTGTACCAGAAAACCAGAGTACAGAGCTTATATTCGGGTTTTTCCCCAAACCCGTACCAGGATTTCAACCCCCTCTTAATTATCTCAAGCTGAATGGTGAGTTAAACTTTGTTACCAGACGAATGCCTAACACCAGCAGAAAACAATGAGTATCTCTTAACTGACTTGCGAGGCATAACGATCTTTCTAAACACATGCGGATTTTCATGAATTGAATAGTCAATGTAATATTTGTTTTTGTCAAATAATTAAACCATTGAATTGTTAAAAATGGTGCATGAACAATTGACTTTATCAGTAGATTTTGACAGTAACATCCAAAATCTTGTCTGTTTCATTCTTTGTTAACACACTATATGTGACTAATTGATAATGTGATCTTGGTGCATCTAACACCTTGGTTGTTTTCTTCTTTTCTTACAGGTATGAGTGGAGTATTGGTGATGATATGTCTTCAGACTTTGAGCCAACAGGTGTCTTTGATCCAGCCTTAGAAAGAATGTGGTTTGACGTTGGACAGGACAATCATACTATCATCATGTTCGACGAAGGTATTATTGAGATTGACTGATTCCTGTGCCATGTAAAGTTTGATTCTTTTAGTTCTTACATTTGTGTATACATTCTACGAGGGGGGAAAAGGTCGAAACAATATAAAATTTCAGTAATAACAAAGATGTTTTACTCAGATTGGCTTCTCTTCAATAAAGCAGATCATTTGCTGCTATCCAATAAGTAACTGACAAAATTATTGTTGAAAAGCTTGCTTGGTTTGGAAAGATGGGGATGGCAATAAACTTCCTGTGAAATATATATATTCTTTCTTGCATGCTGCAATGTCATTTTAAAGAAAACAATAAAAGAAGGCCATTTGCGAAGTGATGCATTTTTGAAAATTTACGTTGCAGCAGCAGTACATGCATGTAGTCGCATGGTTTGTAATTCGGCGAATCCAGGAATGGGTGCGCGCAAGTGTTGATGCTGCCATGGGTTCATTGCGTGACATCGCGTAGCTGCAATCAGCTAAATGAGAACATGTCCAGGATGCTGATTTCGGGGGCAATTCAAAACATGACTCTGCATTTTTTTAATTGAAATCGAGATCCTAGAATATTGTTTTCTCTAAATGTACAGCTTTCATCACAGAGCTAAACCTTCATCGAGTTGGTTGTTAATCACCCATCTTTAGATTTTGAGCAACTTTGTTGCTTCAAACAAACAAAATGCACAAATGACGAATTATCTTCATTGTACCCTACCTTAAAGCAAGGGGCAGCCTCTTCGTGTCTGAAGATTGTTTGCATTCTGTGTTTCTCCTCATAGATCGAAAGCTTAACAGAGATGTAGCGTATCACGTGTTCGTCCGGGCCTGGTATGATGCAACTACATACGCAGTGTTCAGATCAGACGGCATTACACCTGATATCACACCGCCAAAAATATTAACAATCAGAGGCACAAAGGCAGGTGTAAATTTTAAGTTCATTCTTAGCTTTTTTGGTTAACGGTATATTGCTGGCCCTTTCACTCCCCAATTTGCTTATAAAGACATACTGACCAAACCTTGTTAGGAATCTTGTGATTTTTGTCAACATTTAATCACACCTGATCAAGCAGACGGAATTGACATGTTGCTTCTTTCACGAGTGCTCTTTCAATAAATGAAAGGTTTGTGCTCTTTTAGACGATTGGGTATCTGAAACTACAACAAACACATGAGGTTTGAAATATCTGGGTACCCCTTCCCCTTGATGAGCCCTCAGTAATGTATCTGTATTTTGTTGCTCTCAGGTGAAAGATCTTGTGAGACCAGATGCAAACAAAGACACTGATTACTTAACAGATCCTGATGTTGTCTCCATCTCCTGGGAGAGGGTGTTTATAGACAATGCAACATCCCACTTCCAGGTTTCTCTAAGTACCTATCCGGGAGGTGAGTTCTTGTTTACTCTTTTTCATATCTCTTATCCGAAGCTCGTTTCTCAAATCTTCACCTCCTTAAAAAACATCACCAGTCTGTTGTGCCGTTGTCTTACCAAAAACTGTCCTGTGCCAAATAGTGTCCGCTCATTAGCATACTGTAGTCTGAATGGCTATGCGTCTATGACATCACATTGTTGACGGAAGTTCGCCAAATATTGTCCTTGCGGTCAGCTTTCAAATGTCGTGAATGAAATCATTGTTAATCTCGTTAGTTCAGCCCAACATCTATTGTTATTGTAAGAAATCAATATTTTTGTTTTAGGTGTTGGGCTATGAGCCCAACACCTATTGTTAATGTAAGAATTTACTATTGTTATTATTATTCTCAGCAAATTGGTTTCCAGAACTGTTTTTCAAAATAAAAACATATATGAACTCCAATTGTCAATACATGAATGCACAACCCACTGAAGGTGTGTCATTATGACATCATCATGAGTCACGTGACGTCACTTAAAAGATTATAAATACATTTAATCTTTGAAATTCAATATTAAAATCTACTGTGAGAGACCAGGACTTGAATTTTGCGGGAATTGATATGATGATACATGATGTTCTTTTAATCTTGTGCGTGTCAAATCACGTGACCCTTCATTCCGGTCGAAACCGGAAGTGCTTTAAGCGGAAATTTGAAAGCGGAAAAGATGTGAATTTGCTTTCAACGACGTAAGTCTTTGGCTAGGTTTACCTTTCCAAAAAGAATATTGGTTACGTCATGAGATGTTTGCGCGCCCTTTAGCGGCAGGTAAAAAAAATGTAGAAAAACCGCATTTTCAGTTGATGTGTGCGGCGAAATTTGCGATAATCGCTTCAAAATTAATATGTATCAAGATCTTAATGCAGACAAGACCTGTGCGCGAAAAAAATGATGACTTCATTAGACCAAAAGTTAGATGAAAAGACCTCTTTTCCTTTGAAAATTCCTGAAAAATCAACCCTGAGAGTTTGTATCTATTTAAATGGTACTTTAATAATAGGTTTAAAACTTCCCAGGTTTTGTTACAAAAAATTAACTAGAAGATGCCCTGCAGCCCCCTTGAAATTTGAAGTTGACAACGCCTACGCCTTAAAACGTTCATTGAATGCCACATACATTGTACAGCGTGTGTACAACAAATGGGGATCGTTGCGTTCACATTAAACGATTGTTTTATGTTAAGCCACATGTAACGGCTGTTTGATAGACCAATGTGTTTTAAGTGTTTACCAATGTTTTGTACACGTTTATATGAAAACTTGTTTACGGAAGCAGATTTTTGACATACGATACTCAAAACTTGAGCTGGCAAAAGCGCCCAATTTTGAAATTGAGCGCTTTTCCTTAAAACATGCGCATTGGAGTAAACAGGGTACATGTATGGCGAGCAATATTTTGAATTGCACCAATGGTGTGTGACTTTTACTTGAGCTATTTTATGGGTTTTTGTAACAATTGTTTTTGATAAGTTTACACTACAGTATTATACATGAATGGCGTGCATGTATGTTGAGACCTGTATGAATCATGCGTCAACACACAAACCTTTATCTTTCAATCCTCCGTAGGTGAAGATATTCGTCAATTTGCTGACCTCACCTTCCCAGTCAGTGTTTCGTCCACACAGTTGACCAGCCTGAACTTACAGAGTGGCCTGCGATACTACAGCAATGTACGAGCATTCAACAAAGCTGGTCTGCACACGCTCAGAAGCAGTGATGGCTTCGTGGTGGATACCAGGAGGCCAGATCCAGGCCTGGTCTTTGATGGGATAGGTATGAAGCCTCTTAGTCTTACCCAATTGGCATTGATAGAGAATATAGTAGTGCGTGTAATTCGTCCAGTTCATTACTTCAAGCATCATTGGTTGTGTGCTTCTCAATTCTTGTACGCGTTCCCCCATCTGCTACTCTTTGCCAAGGTCTTACTTTCTCCCTTCTTATAACTTAGCACAGCTCCAGCAACATGTAAAATGTTCAGGCAAAATGAGACAGAACTGGGCAGAGGTGGAAACAAAGGCTTGCAAATATTAGGAAAGAGAATAAAATTGTCCTTACAATACAGTTTGTTGCACTTCAATCGGACATTATGTTGACAAGTTATGACTGTTTAAATAACTGTTCGCATTTATCGACAAGTCAAAAAAAAATACAGAGAAAAAGGCCTTTAAAGTTTCGAGTACATGTATATTCGTGAAAATGAAAGATGCCAGTTGTTTTTGCTTAAAAACGCTTTAATATTTGTAACGTTTTTATGTCCCGCGGCAAAGCCGAAGGGGCATACTGTTTCCGCCTTGTCCTTCCGTGGGTGGGTGTGTTGGTGCGTGGGTGTGCTCTTGTATGGCATTGCCATAGAGGACAGACCCGCAGATAACAAAAGATCCTTTCAATTCCTCGAACGACGGTTCTTATGTTCGAACTGTCCTCGATCGTACGTTTACGTGCTTAGTCAATTGGAAAGTGTAAAACCACAGGGACAAAGGGAAACACAATAGGTTGCCCTTAAACGTTATGTAAAACATGTGGGTGGGTGTGTGGGTGGGTGTGTCCGGACAAATCTTGTCAGCGCGATAACTTGAGAAATACTTAATATGTGAACTTCAAATTTGGTTTGTGGATTGTTGTTGGTAATTCAAAGAAGCCTATTGCATTTGGGGCCGAAAGGTCAAGGGTCAAGGTCACAGTGGCTAAAACAAAAGACATTTTGTCAGCGTGATATATCAACAGATACCGCCAAATTCAATTTGTTTTTCTTATTTATTTCTTGCTTATAATATAGTCACCACCTTTAGTGGCCATAGCATTGTGGTTGGACAGTAATGAACCGAAGACTTCTACCTCTTTACTGTATTCTAGATCTTCACGATGTAGAGTACCAGAACTCCAGCACGGTCATCTCAGCCTCCTGGCATGGCTTTGTGGATCTGGAATCCTACATAGACCATTATGAGTGGTGCGTTGGACAGACCCCTAGCCCTACAGATGATGGCATTTTGCCCTGTACAAGTGTTGGAATCCACCTGTCTGCCACCAAGACTCTAGCTGTATCACTCATAGATGGTAAAGTTCAAATACAATTCATTGTTGTTATAGTCAGTTGACAATCAGAGGAAAGCATGCAACAATTTCCCGTAAACAGGTTTTAAGAGTGATTGACTCCTCAACTTAACCAGTTTGCGCTGGGATTAATTTGACGTTGACCGGACCCAAGCGCGGGACTGTTTTTCACGAACCTCGATGCCAGAGGGTTCAGGCCATCATCTGCTGGTAGCACACCCTGATATTTCCGGCCTCGCTCGCTGCAAGTGGGTTGTTCGACAAATATTTCCGGCCTCGCTCGTTGCATTTATATCTGTCATCCGAAAATTAGTTTTATTGTGATTGGGGATTTTAACATCCATATTAAAGTTAGGCCTTCCCCAAGCAGGTTCTTTTTGAAATAGATTTGAAATAAATAAAAAAAAAAAGATTATAGGTGAATCCAAAGACATCCCAGTCGAACTCTTCAGGAACCTTGTACTTCCTTACTTCTGAAAAATGCAACCTTCTACGATGAGAAAAGCAGAGTGCAGGTGTGGGCGTGCTCCTAGAACCATGAACGCACTCATACACTCATATTACCAATACACTGTGCCAATATACCGTGCTGGAGTGCAGTAGAGGAATATACAACATTTGCCTTTCTGTAGTTTTTAGAAATTGACGGGTCTGGGGGGTTAGTGTTTCATAGCAAATATTGTTACACTGACTTCTTTGAGGTTTCTTGGTTCGTAGATGCTGGAAAAAATCTAAGAAAAACAATCATGCTCTTGGATCTGGTTCACTGACCCGACTTAAGATGAAACGGATCAATTTATGGACGTCAGGGAATCGTAAGGTCAGGTAATCAGTCTAGCTGGCTTGTACGTGAAATGCGGACTGATTGGGATCAGTATTTGAAGAAAAAAAACAGTTTTTTTCCCACCGCTGGTTGACCCACCAGAGTTGGAAATTGATACAAAAATACCACTTTTCTTGATAATGTCAGAACACCAGGAGCTGTAATTTTACAGGATGCTTAATAGACTGCCATTCACTAACAGTCCAGTAAGGCTTTTCGTGATAACTTGGTAGTTTTGTTTGATGATGTTTGCAAATGTATATTCCCTTTAAAACCCTTCGTGCAGCGTCACAGTGATATAATTCTCATTGTTTTCCAAATATGGTCATACGGTCATATACACACCACATACCTGTAGACTCCCATTGGCCAGACCCTAGCCACTCCGGAGTAAGAAGTGTTGAAAGACAGAAGCCAAGAGGGCGGCTTATGCCTTTGTGCAGTAATTGGAGATCTTAGTGGCCAACCCCTAAGTGCCGCTGATCCCTTTGTGTCAACCCTGCGTGCCACCAAGAGCCCAGACAGGTTGTAAACAATCCCTGGACATGTGAATGACCTATATCTTGTGCGTGTACAGGCATGCCAGGGTTATTGACCCAGAAACATGTATGTAATAACATTGTCATGGTGGTTCCACTGCGTAGATTTTTTGGGCAAGCTGCTCGAAGGGTAAGGAGAAAACTTGAAACTAATAAATAACATCCCTTAATGCTGATTTGAATGCATCGAGGGAGGGTAGGCTGACTGGGTCCATCGTCAAGGAATTCCAGTCTCTGAAGATTGACGGAAGAATGATGAGGAGTAGACCTATGTCCTGCAGGAGTAGACCTATGTCCTCTAGTGCTGGATGTACATGTAGCTACACTGGGGAAAGAATGCCAGTCTCTGTCGACCAAGTTTAAACGGAACCGATATAGCATCCCTAGATGGCTTTGGAGACGACTGGACTTGAGTTTTCTTCATGATTGACTTTTCTTTTCAACCCTTACATCATGGTGGATTCACCAATGCATACACTGCATGTTTCTCCTTTATTTGTCCCTGATCAGGCATCCGGTATTACTCCAAGATCTCAGCTATCGACGCTGCCGGACAACAGTCTGAATTAGTTTCGTCAGACGGGTTTGTAGTGGACACTACACCCCCTGAGCCGCTAGAACACATCCATCTAGGGGAGAACTTGATCCAGAATCCATCGTTTGAAGGTATAACAGTTTTCATATTAAAATTAAGAATTTGGTGACACTTAGTTATTGCTTATAAAATATTTATTCCAATTTTGTGGTGTTCGAAAGATGTTTCACTTTTAATACATATCCTTAACCTTCCGGGTATTCAGTTTCCAAAATCACCTTGGGTTGTTGTGGTCTCGTCTGTAGATAATTCAGCATTTAATGCTGAAATCAGCAGACAAAGTCACAACAACCCAAGGTGAAACTGAATCAAAAAGTGAAGGAACAGAGTCAACATCAACAGAATCTACGACAGATTTCATCTATGATAATGTCTCAGATAGCAATCCCACTGCTGCCACTAATTTTGTGACTAACATGCTACCCACCACATAAGGTATGGATACTGTTGAGGATACTCAGCTGCCTGAATGGGATGTTGGATCTGTTAGCCAGGTTTCTGTCATCACATCTGGCAAGAAGATTGCTCAAGATGGACGTTCTTTCTTGTCTCTTCATGGCTCTATCTCCCAAACCTTCAACACAACACTGGGCAGCCACTACCAGGTTGTACTTTTCGCGAGTCACATCGTGTCATCCCACAACCCTTTGCTGAATCAAGAAGGTCGCATCGAGGTTGCGAAATTGGATCGTGTCTTCAGGTTGTATGACCGCCCGGCACATGGTCACTCGGACCAGAGCCTGATGTCCATCCAATGGCATCAGCACAGATTTTACTTCACAGCCAACGACGAAGTCACAACATTAAAAATCTCTTCAGTGGGAGAATCAAATGGAATCCTGTTGGATAACATTCAGGTGAGAAAATCCCTATCCATCTACCCTTTTTGATTATCAACCCTTTTAAAATCGTTTCTCTCAAAATATTATTTAAGACACCGTTTACCTGTGCCACCTCCTGTAATTAATATCAGCTTTCACATTTCATGGTAAATATTCGATAACCAAACGTTTGATAATCATTATTTTTCCTTTTACAGGTGAGGGAGATAACCACTGGACCGAGTACCGGTGATGGGTCCGTAGAAGTCCATACTCAGTTCATTCACAGCTGGTCGTCAATCCAGGCCAAGTGGCATTTCATTGACCCTGAGAGTCCAATAGTGGACTACAGCTGGGCTATAGGTACGTGGAATCTTATACTCTCTTGTCAACCATTTAAGCTCATTGTTTCTCCTCACAACAGTATGCCATAATAGTTCCAATGTAAGATGTAATCTAGCTCATTACACTTAGAATCACAAAAGGAAGCATGGCAAATTGACATTTTTTCATAAAGAAATTTTAACACTACAATTTTGTTAGGAACCACGAGAGGTGGCACCCAGCTTCAAAGCTTCACGTCAGTAGGTACACAGACAGACGCTATCAACACAGACCTCAACATGGCGCATGGCTCCTATGTCTACATCACTGTGATGGCGAGAAATGCAGCCGACCTCGTCACCATAGCAACTTCTGACCCCATACTGATTGACCGTACGCCACCACTGATTTATTTTGTCTCTGACGGTGGGGATGCGCAAGGTGTGTAAATTCCAACACTTTGTCTTCTAGACTGACATAAAACATGCACTTTACAGCAGAAAATGTCATATTAGAGCACAGAAAAAAGTTTATAGACTTCAGGTACAAGTTAACTCTCAAAAAGTTAGGAATGGGTTCTGAATGCATTGCTGCAGTAGGTCAGGTTCTCATTTGAAGACATAAAGGGTTGAGCTCTTGCAGAATAACACTTAGTCTAGGGGATAGACGTACTGGTTTGATATGCGATAACCCACCACCACGATTACCCACAGCCGCGAGAGGGCATTGTCACGACCAACCCATATCACCCAGGAACCCGCCAGGAACAACGTCTAGGAAAATTCGTAAAATCTCCCCCCGCAAAGTGGGGAAAACCAGTGCCCATGCGCTGCTTCTGCAGGTAATTATGGTCCATTTTCAGTCCCACGCAAACTCACATCACAAAAGAGCTGACCAGTGATATATGGAGTTGCACAAAAGTCTTGCTGCATCTTGTACACTACTCTGGGAGAAATTTAAGAGTTTGGTTCGGAACTCACGATGAATGGCCTGGTCAACCCGACCCGATGCACAGCATAAACTCGCACATGTTTCTCTCCCATTAGCACGTGTCGATCAGGGGGTCACAAGCTATTAATGTTCATGCACGAATCCACAGTCTCCTGGCAAGAACATCTCATTAAGAATTCCATTTCTCCCCTGACAGATGTTGACTTCAGTGCGGACGATGATTCTCTGACCTTCAGTTGGTCGGCGTCTGATCCTGAGAGTGGAATTGACCACTGTGAATGGGCAGTTGGTAAGTTATCTCTCAGTTGAGGTCTACGTACGTGGGTCATTCTTCCCGTCACACTTATTCGGAATCAGCAGGAATCAAGCAGAACCAGCCGGAATGAAGAATTTTCAAAATTCGTGCCACATTCGGGAGGGAATTTAAAATTGACCTAGCTTTGTAAGAATGCCGTTCGAATACTTAGAATGCGCTTCGAACCCGCCTCGAATGATACTTGCACATTCCAGGTGTATTAGCTCTCGAGTGCAGCTCGAATGTAGTTGGAACACAGTAGGAATATTTAGAATGCTGTTAGAATGCAGTCAAAATATTTAGAATGCACTTCGATTGCTGCCCGAATACCGCTCGAAGTCTGGTTGGAAGGTGTATGCCTGGAATGCTGTACGAATTCACCTCGAATGCAGTCAGAACGCTCTCGGAATGGCCACTGAATATGGTTGGAACGTCCAAGAATTCAAACAGAATGCAGCTTGAATATTTATAATGTACTTCGAATGATCCCCGATAGGGTATAAAATGCTGCCGAATCTAGCATTTTCATCAGTCTCAGCCCAACCATGCAGACTGACGTTCCAGCGGCAGCTGGCCGCGTTTTTATGCGATTCGGCGTTGTTCTGAATTACGTCCGGACTCATTTGAGGGCCAATTGGGACGTTCCGACTGCATTCGAGCCACATTCGAGCGGCAATCGAAAGATTCTGACGGCATTCGAAGTGCATTCCAGCTTAATTCTTTTAATATCGAAATAGATTTCGGCAGCAATCGAGATGCATTCGAGATGCATTCCGGCTCATTCGAGGCGCATTCGGGACATTCTGGCTGGATTTGAAGTGGCTTGGCCTTTCGATTCTCCTTCGAATGCGATCAGAATGTTTCGAATGCTGTTGAATGCCGTAAGAATATTTAGAATGCAGTCAGAGTACAGTTAGAATACACTTCGAATGCCGTTCGATATTTCTCCACATCGAATGCACCTCGAAAATTTTGAGCATGAGCAAAACAATCAGGCCGGCCACAACAATGGGCCAAAATATTTGGAATGCACTCAGAATGCAGTCAGAAGTTTTAGAATGCACTTCGAACATCCAGGAATATACAAAGAATTTTCATTTCGACGGCATTTTGGCTCATTCCGCCTCTAGTGTGACTAGGGTTTCAGTAAAGCTTCACTTATTAACACATTTATGTTTTGGAGCTACGGATCTCCACGGTTTGAAATTAGTGATAAACCGTGGGAGTACCATATTCATGCATGCTTATAAGTACATCCGTGGTTATCCGTCATCTTCCTTGGTTCGTCGTGCAGGGGCTACGGAAGTTTTAAACTGTTCACAACTTCTGTGATGATGAAACGTCATGAAAATTGTGTAATTCGTAGCTATTCGTACATATTCTTGGAGATTCGTAGCTCATTCGTGTTGCAAATCTCTACGAATTCGCTACAAAATGTCCTACCGTAAACGGATATGCCCGGATGCGCTAGGGTTCTGCTAAGGTTGTATACTTGACTGTTCGTAGGAGAACCTTGGTCATCTGTGGCCCAATTGCAGACAACCGTGGCGTTAACATAATTTTTCTTAAGAATATGCCTACCGTCGATATTCTTCAACAATCCGTCCATATTCTTGAACTGTGGTGTATTCGTAAAGAAACCGTAGGACAGTCGTGGCTATCCGTCCTGAAACTGTAGTGCAATTCGTGGGACTTTTGTGATGAAAATGACAATATCTGAATGAATTGGGAGCCAATTGTAACCGAGCTGGGAAGGTTACACAGAAAATTCCAAAGTGACCCTGGGATATAACTCCAATTACTTGATCAAAATTTATTTATTACATGAAAAAAACAAAAAACAGTCATTCTTCAGCAGTTTTTAATAACAGAAAACAGAAGAAAAGAAATTAATTTTATTTCATTACAAATATGCAATGACTATGAATCCAATTAATCAATTATTCAATTATTATAATTAACCATTACTCCTTATCATTGGTTATCTCTCGTCATAATGAGAAATTGCCATTAATTTGTTCTATATAAATGTTTCTGCTGCGAATTTGCATTTCTTAAGAGAGGCATAAAAATAGTAAAGGCATACAAATTTAATCAAGGAGAAATAATCTCCATAAGCACTTGTTATGCAATAATTTGCACCAAACATTGATCTCCAAGTCTCCAATTTCTTGGGCACATTTCAAGCAATATATTATTCTATACACGTACCCAAATGTTATGGATGCTGGATATATAGGAGAATACACTGGTCTACTCGAGAAGGCTTCTCTATTTGTGATCTTCAGAACCACCAGAACCACAAGTAGTAGCTGTAATAAAATTACTATACATATGAAGGAATCTCATTAAATGTTTCAATGAAGAAATATTAAATATTCATCAGTGCCATGAAAAATTATTCATCTCCACAGTACACGTGTACGCATCCTTAGTTATGTTATATTGATGAATTTACAGTGCATTTTATACGTACATTTATTTCTTTACATTGTTTGTTTAAACAGCAATGCTCATAAAAAGAGTATTCCATATTCTGTATTCGTACATCCATCTACATGTAGGCCTATCTCATGTGTTTCATTTCAGGCTAAAATATTCATGAATACTAATTTAGAATACAAGTATAAATAAGGCATGTTTTAAAGCGTTCGGAGATGACGCCGAATAAAAGTACGCACCTGTGATTTAGCTAAAATCCTGGTTTTAATGGGTTTTTATTCACAATACCTGAATAAAATTTGAACACAATGCACTGTCGTATCTCGCGCGTGTACAAAGACCGAAGCAGTGTTTCTATCAGGTTTTTATCAACAAATATTTCCTGCTTTTTATTTTCTCCCAGGATCAGAGCCTGGACTTGATGACGTCCTACCAAGCTCACCGTCTCCTAACGACACCTCCACTGTCACCACCAGCCTGACCCATGCTATGGTTGAAGGCCAGCGACTGTACGTCTCCGTCACATGCTACAATCACGCTGAGAAGTCGTCATGGAAAGCATCAGATGGTGTTACCATAGTAACGGTGCCCCCAAGCTCAGCGGGAGCTGTAGTCAATGTCAAAACACTGTCAGAGACTCAGCATGAAACACGTGATGGGTACCAGTCACAGAGGGATGCTCTCCAGGGATCTTGGGATGGATTCATGGATCCATTTGGAATTCAGTCCTATGAGGTTAGTGCATCAGTTTTGCAAATAACACCTGTCAGCATGGTTAATGCACAGCACAGCTGGAAAGTGGAAACTGTATGAAATTTTCCAAACTACAAGCATCACAACATCAAATGCGGTGTCAAATTAAAGGGGACAACAAGATCTTTCATTTGAGTGGTGTGCCAATGAGATGGAATGTAGTTAAGTGTGATTTGTGATTTTGGTTTTTTTTTCTAAAATCATTGATTTTTTTGTAGAATTTGTGTACCTTGTTTTAACATGCAAAATGTAACTTTTATTGAGAGTTTTTGTGTTTAAGGCAGAGAGAAAGGTTCATGTATTATAAGCAAAGAGTTTCATAATGTTGCAGTTCATCAAACTCAGATTTTATGATGTGTTAGAAACCATGAAGAGGAAGTAACGTGTGTGACGTAACGTGAGTGATGGTACCTCCCCGTAATCTAATGTCCCTAGCATCTAAAAAACAGACTTATTTGATTCAATTTTTTTTTTTTTATCTAGCTATGGGTAGAATGAAAGACAAAATAATGTTACTTCTGTGTTGCAGATTACAGTTCGAGGAGACTGTAACAACAACATTGCAGGACAATTTTCCATGTCCTTTTTTGTAAGAGAGTGACGACCAACAAAACACACGTTTTCAAAAAATGAATGAACGGATTGAATTTTTCTTTCCATTTTTGAGTACCCCTTACCCCAAGGTTGTTGTATGGCTGGTTTGATTTAGCTTGATCAAATACCTTTGAAGCAGTGAGAGGTCAAAGTAGCCTCATGACATACAATTGTAACGTGAGTGACGGTGAAATTGCCCCTCAGACCTTTAGTCACCTGTATGTAGAGTTGCAATATCATTAATTTATCTCAACTCAAATTGTGACTTTTTCTAAGCAAACAGCTGTGATTGTGCGAGGGATTCTCATGGTGTGTTGGTGTCGTAGACATTGCAGTAATTAAGGTAGGATGGAAACTGACTCCAATAGATGAGAAGCTGAAATTGATATTCTCTTTACTTATGGAATTGTTCTTCTTCCCAGTGCTATCTTAGTGGACCCAACGCATTCACTTCCTGGAGACCTTGTGGATCCACATCAGAGACCCACCTTGATTGGTCAGGTCTTAGCCTAGTTGATGATGTGACATATAGCCTATCAGTCAGAGCCATCAATCATGCTGGTTTGACCAGCCAGGCTATCACAAGCAACTTCACCGTTGAGTCTGCACAGCCTATCGTAGGAGGTATGTATCTCAGCAGTGTTGATTGTTTACTTGCTTAACTTTCTAAAATTTGATTAGAATATACGTCTATATAGTATCTTTCATGGGGGAAAAAGGGGGCTAAAAAGACAAAAAACACAACCAACCAGACTTGTCCTCCACCCAATTTGAAACCACCCATGCAGTCATAAGGACTTTATGCTCCTAACTTTATACCTCATTGCTACCCCTGCTAGTTACGAACTTGGTTCGACTTTTGGGGTACCATTATTCCCATTACTATATATGCTCATCCCTTCATGGTTAACTTATCCATCCATCCACCCCACGTGACCACTACTTACCTTTTGATTTGCTGTGTGTCTCCTAAACTGATTGATGCTTCTTGACATTTCTTGATTGATGAAACAGCCTCAAGCCTGATCAAATATTTTTGGCGTGGTGAAGGGACGGTTGATCTTTCCTGGGATGGCTTGTTCTCCTCCCCTTCCTCCTCCTTGGTCTATGAGGTATCTCTGGGTACCATCCCAGGAGGTAGTGATACCATGCAGTGGGTGGAGACCATGGAGACTGATATGCGTGTCTCACCGCTGGCTCCCTACACCGACTACCACTTGACGCTGAAGGCCATCAGCGCGGCTGGCTTGTCAAGGACAGTCAATAAGATCATTAGTGTGTAAAAGTTTTACAACGTCAAGATGGAATTGGTGCTTAACTTTGTTATATTGTAGTCCTATAGTGGTTGAAAAGCAAAGTAATATACATGCGAAGTGGAAAATTCATTTGAATCATTAATCAAATTTAAAAGTACACATGTTAGTCTGCTTCTCGTAGTTTGCTGCTGCTTTTCCAGTGATAAATCTGAGGTAAATTTATTATTCAACATTGTTTTTCTGTCACAGTATTGTGTTCACAGGACCTTTGACATTCACAGCCTGGTAAGAAACATATTCTGGGATCCTGATACAGAGACGGAATATGTCAGCCAGACAATTGCAGCCAGGCAAATCAATCCAGTGAGGCACCTAAGACTTTTCACAAATTGTCATAATTTAATCCTAAAGCCTCCAATTCCCGAATTCAACTTTTCTCTAACCTTTGCGAAAGAAATTGTCTAAAATTTGTCAGCGTCCAATAAATACAGACCGACCTTGCGCTAACTTTTTTTGCTAGCTAACTGCAGATTTTACTAGCCGGTTCAAAGTTTTACTAGCCCGTTTAAAGTTTTACTACTTTTATTCATTTTTTTAAGACTAAGTTCTATTCGGCGCACCAATCATGAATTTGACAATGTAGTAATTAGTGAATTAATAAATCAAAATAACCCACATTTGGGTTACTGACATTTGGTAGAAATCGCGACATTTTGCTTAGTGAATTAATGTTGCCTTGCACGCGATGCAAAAAAAGGTTTAAAGTTTACAGAGGGTGCTGCTTGTTCAACACGCGGCTCTGCATAGACTTTGTATCAGACACTATCTTAAGTGACTTCGTTTAACCGTAATGCTATACAGCTGCAGCCAGTTATTGTTGGAAAGATTGAAAAACGATGTGAACGAGAATACTAGTGTACACATTAATTGTGCGGTACCGGTACCTCGCCTCGCTGCTGCGAGCTCTATACTGTGATAAGCTTCACTACAGTCTACTTTGTGTATGCAGCGCGGCGATCGCAAGTGTATCGCACTTGCAAGCTATATCACGCTTTAGTTGCGTAAATCTATAGCTATAGAGTACCGAAGTGCGCCACGTATTCTGTTCCACGTGCACATCTTAAGATATAGTCCATCATTTGTAATTAGTGCATTTTGTTCGTTTGAAGCAACAAAAGTGTTCAAAATCTAATGAAGGATATTGAACAACTAACCTGATGAAGTTTTAGCTCAGCTTCAGCTGTATATTCCGAGAAAAACAGCATTCTAGGATCTCAATTTCAAATCAAAAGTTGCTGAATCATGTTTTGAATTGCAGCTATACGCGATGTTGCGCACTGATCCGACGAATTATAGCAACCGCGCGCGCGCTGCGCCGAATAACAAAACGAAACTAATTAAAATTTTCCTACAGTGCGTCTTAAGACGCACTGTTGGAAAGGCCTTCTTTCGTTGATTACTTCAAAATGATAGCTTGCAAGAAAGATTAATTTTACAGGGAGTTTAGTCCACTTACTATCTTTCAACCAAGTATGTTTTTCAACAATAATACGCCAGTTACTTTTTCGGATGGCTGCAAATGATGGACTATAGCTTTAAGTGTGTGAAGACATCAGCGAGTGAACCAGAACATTGATACGATTAATTGTGAGATGAAAAAGCATCTGCTTGGATCAAAGCAAATAAGTTGTCTCTTAATATTAAAAAATATTATATGTTGTTTAGTAATAGAGTACTGTCAGCCATTTCCAATCTGTATTGATAATACTAACATTATAAAAACCGATTGTTTGAAATTCTTGGGTTTGTAAATTGACGACAGTCTTTCTTGGAACAAACACATTAATCACATTTCTACTGTAATTTTCAAAAACATGGGTTTTATATCTAAGCTTAAATGTACTTTTCCCAAGGATGTTTTATTAATGTTGTATAACACCCTTATTTGACCTTATTTGCATGGGGCAATAGTGGTACTGGTCTCATTAATAGGATCCTCAAATGTTACGTATCATTAATAATGTTGACTTTTATGAACATACTAATCCACTCTTCTATAATTGCAGTATTCTAAAAGTTAGTGATTTTTACTCTCTCCAGCTGGGCTCCTTCATGCATCAACTTAACACTAACCGTTTATTCAAATCCGTTTGTTCGATGGTTTAGAAATAATTACGATATATCCACCATTATTTCACAATAGAGTGTCATGAATTTCATTGGCCTTACGCTCGTACTACAATCTTTAAAATAACTGTGAAGCATGAGGGTCCCAAACTGTGGAGCTCGGTCGACTTTTCTTTCAAAAATATCTCCAGTATTTCGCTCTTTAAGCGTAAATATAAAAATAAGCTATTCAACAACTATTTGCAAAATAATTAAGAATTGTTTTTGTCTTTTCTCCCCCCCCCCTTTTTTTTTTAGCAGGGTTGCCGCGGCAGGGCTGGTTAGGCTGCTGATTTCTTAATTATGTCATACCTATTTTCATTACTAATGTTATGTGTTGTTTGTGTATTTAATTCTTTTGTAAACATGTATTCTACATGATTGTAACTGGGGATCGCTACTCAACAAGCTTTGCTTCTTTTTTATGTGGTAATAAAGTCAAAGTTGATTGATTGATTGAATGATTGAACAATCCGACGTCACACTTCGGTACTCTATGAAACGCTTTAGAGCCTCTTTAAAAAAAATTCCAAGACATGCCCTTTATTGTGTCACACCAGCCGGCTTTGATAATTTGATGCACATCCTGAATGATATATATATATTTTTTTTTGACTTTTGACAGCGTGTTGAGCGCATTAAAGTACCGACGTCGGTAAAAACAATTGGGGAGGGGACGGGAGTTTCGACACTCGGGGGCACCAAAATGACCTTGCTATATGCCTGTAGTAGCTGAAGTTAACGCACATGGTGATCAAATAAAGGCTATAATTATAAACTAAGCAATGATCTGAAGTTCAAGTATGTGTCGTTTGTGTCATTGGTTTCTATTTTTTTAATGTATGACCTGAATTCAAATCAGCTCAGGGGTCACAGTCACAAATTGTTCAAGCCAGAACTAAAGAAGGGACTGAACTGCAGGAAGAATTTTTTTCTTTCTCCGAATAGTCAACGAGTGGAATAGTCTCCCAGCACATGTTGTGGATTCCAAGTCAATCAACCTCATCAAGAATAAGCTAGATTCCTACTGGAGCCAAAAAGGATATGGGGTCTTAAAGGCTTAAGCCTATTCTATTCCCATCATACCTTAAGTGTAAGTGTAAGTGTATAATTACAAAGACACTCAATCATCCTATCATTCACATTTTGTAAGTCAATAACATTTTTGAGAAAGTATTACCATACGTTTTCGACAACATTGCCGAAAACTATTGCCTAGTTAAGTTTTTAATCCCCGCCGCCGAAGCCGAAGGGGCATACTGTTTCTCCCTTGTCCGTCTGCACAGTCGTGTTTTGCTACGCTTCCGAGGATTTGCCGTGTGTGTGGGTGTGTGTGTGACTGTGCGTGTTTCATTGTTCATTTTACTCATTGTGCCCATTAATTGCTCATTTCACTCATTTTATTGCTCATTTTACTCATTTTGCTGATTTGATTGCTCATTTACTAATTTACTCATTTCATAGCTCATTTTACTTATGTTGCTGATTTCATTGCTCATTTACACATTTCATTGCTCATTTGACTCATTTCTTTGCTCATTTTGCTCATTGCTTTGCTTATTTTACTCATTTACTCATTTCATTGCTCATTTTTCTCATTTCATTCCTCATTTACTTATTTCATTACTCATTTTGCTCATTTCATTGCTCATTTAACTCATTTACTCATTTCATTGCTCATTTTACGCATTTTATGGCTCATTTTAAAGAGGTTGTGGAATGCTCGAAGACATTTCCGTCATTTTGTGGGTATATGTAGCCTAAGGTGTGATGAAATAAAAACGACTATTGTTTCTGTCATGAAATGAGTACAAACGGTACTTTTGAGAGCTGTTTTTCAGGTCCAGTTTCGACCCGAACGTGCAACTGTGTAAAAGTCGTCGTTGCGGGCAGCAAACAAAACACAGTAAATCGTGACGTAATAAACAGGACTCGTGTATGCTACTGTGCATCGGGAATACGTAAAAGTAGGTCAAATGTGATTTCCGTTTTTACGATAGCCACATATCTTGGTTACATTTTCAGCTATTCGCGCGTACTCACGCGCGCCTATGGAAATACACGTTCAACAGAAAGGGCCAATATGTCGGAAACCTTAATTTGCCACATATCCTTGCTAATTAATCTACACCAATTAACTACTGCATTAGTAGTCTTATTACCGGGCAATGTAAAAATTCAGTAGTATTTCTTGCAGTTTTAAAATATAAGAAACTTCTTTTGCGATTATCTCGAAAACATTTTTCTTCAAAATCAACGTCATATATATATGGTATGTGGCTGTTTGTGAAAACGGTGACGATTTCTTCACCACATTTTTTTCCAGATTTAAACACGAGTTTATTTTCATTTTGAGCATTTTTTTTTTTTTTTACTTATTTATGATTTGAATTTTTGTTCCAAATAAATGTTCGAGAACTTGTTTTGCAGCTCCAGTGGCTAAGTACACACAAACCCTGTTGCTATATAGATAGATAATCGCTTCCTGGCACATAGATCGTGCAAACATCAAAGTGTTAGTTAGGCCCCTGATTACTTTGAGTGAACTTTGTGACGCGTGTACATACGATACCCATGCGCTTAAAAGCAAAACTACAGGCCCAGTGTTTGGCAGGCATTTACAGGTTATGTCCAGGTATCATGTCGAATGTGTCCTGCCCAATCTACGAACTGAGCTTGGCCCACAACGAATGAGGCATTCGGCTGCTGCTGACGGTACACCCAAACGGCTGCATTCGATTGAACAAGGTAAGTCTGCTGATGGGCCCATTATTGTCGTGATACTGATCCCGGACGGGAGTCTCTGTGACCAATTGTTTTGCCAATCTAGGGGAAATTCCGACGTTGAAGCCCTCATTTGATCATCGTACAAAAGAAAAAAGTTGAAAAGGATAATACACTAGTCTGTACGGCACCTACGGTCAGAGACCTGAATGTAGCTAGCTCAAACCACTAAACCCTGCATTTAATGTAGCCCAAGCGCTCAATGTAGCCACAACTATGAACAGTGTGAATTTAAAATAAAGCCATGACATTGTACAATTTAAGATGTTTGAGAAAACACGCTTTAAATCACTGTTTTCCGTGGTTATTGCATCTGGCACACTATTTGGCAGTATGCATTTGACATCAAAATGTTAAAAATAGTAGGTCTATCACCAAGATTTTCTAATGTTTAATTTGTTTCCGATTGAATTTTCGAAGATTATGATGTCCTTAAAACTTTTTAAAAGTATTTAGAGGCAATGATTAAAAAAACAAAAAAAACAAGAGCTTTCATGTTGCGCTAATTGGTTCATGCTCGAGCTGATTGAGAGAGCAACCCAGATCCTCCAGACAACAAGTCCCTGGGCCTACATCGCTTGAACTATCTCAAGTGGCGGATTCAGGAAGAATCCAGGGTTCTATGATGACTACAACTCATTTTTGTAGGTGATATCATTAATAAGGGCCATGCAGAACGAGTGCCAGTTAGAGATTGCAGCAGTAACAAGACCAAGGCCGGTTGTGGTTCATTCCCCACCACGGCATCTATCATCCCCAAAAAGCCACGAAAGATCTGCGTGGTCTAGGACTGAAGCGCAACATTCAAGGGGGTGTCTTAAAACGGCCATCTGTTCCAGGGGCTAGATTTGATCAAAAACCTTGTTGGCACACTGTGCAAATTCCGGCAAAATCTCATTGCATTCATTGATGATTCAATTCTGATCCTTTGGAGTAGAGAATGGGAGTACACTTCTTTGGGGCTGTATCATCCCCAAGATGTGCCAACTTTGGCTTGGGGTTCATTCCAGAGGACTACATGAATAATTGCCGAGAACAGGCAGCCCAATTCGTCCAACGGGACGCGAGGCGGGTTCCACCTTCACACAAAATGGTGTCCAATTCCAGGGTAGAATCTAACAATGTCTAGGCAAAAATCAAGTCAACTGTGATTCACCACTAGAAGACGAGATTAGGTCACGCTGGGAG